ATTGCAAAAAAATTGCAATTATGTCGTGTTGTGCAAGGTAGACTGTCAGTTTTGATGTCTATGACAGCTCATTGGGGAAGTGTAAAAGTTGCACAAAGCCCGGGGGGGGTACTCCCCTATGTCAGAGTGTGACACAGGGAAAGCATGATTTGTGTTTTTAGCATTGTCTGTGAAGTTAAAACTTGAATCCTCAACACCATGCCATCGACACAACTTTCAAGCTGCTATAAAATCAAGAAATTTTTAATGTTGGGTGAATTTTCATACTCAATAAATAATTTTCATGCTAAATAAATTGTTATTGAGTGGTGACAAACTTGAAATCAGAGGGRAATTAGCCAAGGTGCATTAATGCATTTTAAATGACCATTAAAGTTTGGTGGGGCATACTAAGGGTTGGGAAAGAGGTTACCCTACCTTATCCCTCAAACAAGTAAATCCATTTTCTTCTTTGGTACTGTATTCCTATGTTTGTACAGATGTCTGAATAATATCTCTTTGATTGATAGTTTCATTTTTGTTTTCAGGTGAAGATTCATGGAGATGGCAAATGCAGAATCCAAATGGTTTTAGAGAATAATCAACAATGTGGATTCAAAGAGAATCTCTAAAAAAATAAACCCTCATCAATATCGAGGGACGCTGGGTAGAGTAAATAGTGGAGAAATTAGGAGAAAATTACTGTATACTCAACCTTGAATAATTTATAGATGATTATATAATATATTATATTACACTTGTTACACTTTTAGGTTTTGTACCAGTTAGAGTACAAACACTAAGAGTGAGCAACAATGATTATATTTTAGCACTATTCTATTCTTATTAATTATTTCCTATCATTATCATTTGTATTTAATTCATTACACACTATCGTTTTTTTTTGTTTTTTTTTTGAAATTTAGGAATCTATGCATCATTTTGTGACTCAATAAAAAATATTGAAAAAAAAAAACGCTGCATGTCTTTGGAATAAATTACAAATATACAAAAATTGGTTCACTTATATTCRTGAAACAAAAATTAATATGCTAGTATATAAATGTTACACAATCAGTGGGGGTTAGCCTGAGCATCAGACATTTASGCATAAACATAGAAGACATAGAATAAACTGGATGTACGCAGACTAGTGCAGGGATGATTGAACAAAAATTGAATAACTTTATTTTTGCACAGCTACTGAATTGAATGGTGTGCCAATAATTTTTATTGTGCTGTTGTAAACTATAATAGCCCTGTTATACTAAACAATGCTTCAAAATTCAGTTTTCTTAAATACTGATGTAATTGATAGCTATGCTGCCCCCAACACTAGCCTGCGTTTAGACCGAATTTTTACCCCGTGAACTTTTACCCAGTATYGATAATTCCGGAATTAAACGCTGACCCTGTTCCAGAGAAAAATCGGTGAAAGCGATACCCWGTTCCAGAGTAAAATCACTWAATAYGATAGCCTGTTCCAGAGTAAAATCGCTGAAAATGATACCCTGGTTGGCGGCACGTTCCCGTATATATATTAGCGAATATAGGGAAGTACCCCCCACCTGTCTCTACTTCTCAATCTTATGAAATTCTAGGAAATAAGTCATATAATACCTGCAAATTACGTTTTCTATTTCCCAAATTTTTGACAAGACGTCTTTTTTTATGATTTTATCAAGTCAATTTGTTAGTGAAAACGTTTAACTAAGAATGTTTTAACCAAGTTTGACCACTGCAGTAGCAGACTGAATTTACAGCTGAAAGGTAATGTGACCACGTGATACAAATATCAAATAATCATCAACATTAAATTGCCAAAAACAGTCCATCAAACTGTACAATCATGTCTTTCCTGTCTAAGAATAGCATGCTTCCTGTGTTAGACCAGTAAGAAGCAGACAAATAAAACTCTCCCTCTCCCTCTCCCATCTGTGCTATTCCTTTTTTTTACACACAGRGAACCCAAAATATACAAAAATTGGAAAAGAAAAATGGTTGGGAACATAAAAAAAGCACTGCGCTCTTAAAATATAGTAGATTCAAGGTTTGATTGCATTGTTTTGTCCATATCAAATTCTAATCTTACTCTTAACTACAGGTTTTCTCTTTGATCGGCAACCCTTGCATTTCTTAAAATCATGTCATGCAATGCCTTCTTATTTGACTATGTCAATATATAAAACTGGTCAAACAAACTATAAAAAAACCATGTCCTTAACATATGATCACTAGAATATTAGTTGCAACTATTGGCTCATGATCGAGTGAAGCTGGAAACTTTACAGGGGCGGATCMAGCTGAATCCTTCAATACCTGCCTTATTTTGTATCTTCATGGTAATGATTTTTGTTGGAGGGTGCACCCCGTCCTGAGAGCTGCGCACACCTCCCTGAGGAAAATCCTGGATCCGCCCATGCTTTTATGGCTAACTCATTTCATGTGAAACAACACTTCCTATTTGACAGATGAATTTCATGTCAATTACTCACTTTGCAACAAAAGGAAASAATGGAACTAGTCAACTAGGGTCTACCATAACGAGTTTAGTAACTAATTCAAAGGCCTTTAAGCACTTAAACCATAGTTAACTTATGCTTAAACTTTACTGGTCGACTTTTTAGTCCTTCCTTTTGTTGGGATTTGTGTACCTAAGAAGTAAGACGAAAGGTGTACAGCAAATGAGATGAAAACCTTTTTTTTTTATTGAAAACCTCATAATGTGTGTAATGCAAGAACAAGAGTAAGAATACCAGCACAACTGTTTTGATTGCTATTTATTGGTCATCTTCTATGGTTTATTTTTGCACTTCAAGGTTAAATTCTTATTCTTTTGATGTGACAAGTCTGTTTTTGAGACAGTTTTTGATGGGATATATCTAACACATGCTACCATGGCAATGTATAAAACAACTAGAACCACACTACATATGGCACAAAGAAAATATGCACTACATTCTTCAGATAGTTCTAATCATAAAATATTGGACTACATAAACTGTCCAAACAATATATATTAATGAAAAATGCTTGACTTGACGAGTTAAGGGTTTATTGACAATAGTGATACGCTGTCAATCACAATAAGATTAAACAAGGCATAAATATCACCTCAACTTTACAAACTATTGACTTAATGCTATTTTGATGTGCTTTTTGAAATAAAATGTCTTTTGAGCACATTTGATGGGTGTAATATACCTGTGTATTCAAAACAGCAAGAAAGCAAATGATCTTATGATGGTAAGTGTATCCCTCATTATATTAGATATGTGGAACACAGTTTGTAAAGAAAAGGACTTAGTATTCTTCTTGTTCAAGTTCTTCATTTTCTGGTGCTTCAAAGCCCTCCTGAAACACAAAAACACAAGATGAGATATAATGATAATTATCATTACATGTAACAATAATAATTTGTTGTTTGGTTATCCTATTAGATGAAATACTCAATTCAATAACATTTGATTTTAAGATAGAGCTGCAATTKTAATAATTCTTAACAGTGAAACTGGAAACTGGCCAATCAGATAACAGCAAACCAGAGAGAAACTGATAACACCATTATCCAATCATATTCTAGCATTCCAATGCCTATGTTTACTTAATGATTTCTTTAATGATAAGATAGCAATCAATAAAATATCAATTGCTGTCCTCTAATAAAAACTGTAGATGTGGAGAACTTAGTCAAGAGAAGTTCACCAAATACTAATTGTGATTTGACAACAAAGCATAAACACAATGCCAATTATTTAAATTCCGTTGTAGCATTGTTATCAATTCTTGGTTAGTTGATAACTAAATCTTATTTAGCACTACATAGTTAAGAATTGTTTCATGCTTATGTGACTTGCACTCTATATCTAGATTATAGGAATGTTTATCATTAAATACTGTCTGATGAGTGCGTAGCACGAAACTCGGAATCTTGCCTCTTTGATATCATATACCTCTGTTGCATATAATTTATCTAGGATTTTCTGGATAACTTCTTGTTGTGCTGGCTCTACTCTTGCTTGCTCCTCTTGACAGAACATTTCAATATCTCTGAGTTTGCCAAAGTAAAAATCTCTCTCCTTCTCGAGTCCTTGGACTGTTGTCTTTAAGGAATCATTCTGTATGGGAAGGACAGACAATAATTTTTAAATGAAAAAAACTATAAGAACTGTTGCATTATTTCATGAGTAATTCAATATTCTTTAATGGTAAATTTCAACRTATTCTGCTGCTACAAAGAATAACAAACATCATGATATTCTTGATTTCAATTGTGCAAAATTCAAAGTGCAACTTTTATAATACAATGAAACCTCATTAATTTGGCCACAGATGGGTTACCAAAAAGTGGCAATAAGAATGTGGTGGTTGTGTTAATTGCTTCGAAAAGTATGGGGGCCCAATCRTTGAGACTTTATCTTTTGGCWGTTGTGACAGGATGGCCATACTAAGAGTGTGTTGAACTGTAACCACTATAAACCCTCACATATAGACTAMGTTCACACGGRGCTGGTCAAGTTTTAGGACACCTCGGTTTTAGGACAGTTTCCACTGTTCCTATGGAACCGTACACATTTCGGTACGGATTGAAACAGTGTTCACACGCATTCGTTCATGCCTTGAAGGRACCYGTCCTCAAAGTGGATCRGCTTTTTAGCCGRCTCCAAACCTGACCACTTTGCCAGCCTAATATGAGGCCAGTTCCAGAGTTCCAGTGTGAATGCGCGCCTAAACTAGAACAGTTCCGAATGGAAATGGCCCAGTGTGGACAGGGCCATTAATACGGAAAAGTTAGAATYTATCAGACAGAAATTTCCACTCTTGACACATAAATTAAAAGAAGTAGTTTTGAAACCATTKTAAGTACTGCAGTAGTTCTTTTGCTCACCTGTTCAGTTAGCTCTCTAATCTTAGCATCTTTTTGCTGTGCTCCAGCACTAGAGGCTCCTCCGCTTCCACCTCCAGTAGATGCCACAGGGGGGCGGTAAGCAGCACCACCATTCCTTGATGGAGGTGATTTAGCAGATCTTGCAATACTTGATTTAGGTTGCACTGCACGGCTTGCTGTAGGAATAAATAATTATCAAGTTTAATAATTAACCGATTTACATTTTGACATCAACATGAAATTAAAACCTGCATCTTTTGTATTTTGCATTTGTACAAATATCCAGCTGTAAGGTCATTTGATTTTCTCCTTTAAACTTATATTTTACCTTCAAATTTTTTTTTGTGGCCCTAAATTCTTGATTTTTTACAAATTATGAAAGTGATCTGACTAACGAAAATTAGGATAAATAAGGAAAATAAATGCAAGTAATTACACACTTTGCTGCAGGATTCTTTGCCGTATATTTGGTACTTACTTGGAGCTTTGGGTGCTGTGGATCCAGCTGGCTTACGCTTGACAACATTCAGAGTAGTGTAAGACTGTCCACCACGTGCAGCAAGGGCATCATATTCTTGGCCACCATAGTTTGCATCAAAAAACCTTTTAAACCACTGTAGAAACTCAAAATTATCTTGAAATTTACCCTTTATTAGCCTGTCCACTGGAACCGACTGCAAATAAATTGGAATTATCAACATGAAAGAAAAAAAAAATAACAGAGTTTCCAGCATATAATTGTAATCTTAACCTTAAGGTTACGTCCATTAAAAAAAGAGTATTGAATAGCTATTGAATAGCTATGCAAATTTGTTAGTTTTTAGGTGATGTCACCTGAAAGCCTCCCCACCTAATTATACTGTCTATTCAATGGGGTCTTGCATAACCGATTTTTGTAGAGAGCAATACTTTTTGCATTGTTTTCTAATAAAAATTACAAAATGAAAATGATATGATACAGAAAATAAAAATATGCAGGTCTTAAGATTGTGTTAATTATGATCTAAATGACCTTGAAAGAGGTAAGAGTGTAAAATATGAACAATGGCCATGATTTGTGTGACATCAATAAAATAGTTGATGTCACTTATAGTAAGTAATAGTAAGACTGAAAACACTATAGATACTTAAAAATACCTAGGTCTTATTAACTGAGCATGCAGTCTAGGTAGAAAAGTCAAGACTGCGRTCAGGAAGAACAGGGCGAGCATAGCGAGTTCTGTATGACTGATCAAGGTCTAGATTTTTCTATCTAAGCCAAGCAAGCTCGATTAATAAGAGTTTTATTATATGACCATTTTCATTGTTGGTTAAACAGTAATCTAAAGATAGCAAGCCATCTGGGATTTCGTCTGGTTAATAAAATTTGTCTTTTCATGATTTTGCCACTAGAAATAGTATCAAGGTGAATGTCAGTGTTGTTATTTGTGTTTTTGACATGTAATTTACATGGTAAGTTAAGCAACAATTTGCAAAAATTCAAAAAATCATGAGTCAAGCAGTGAGAGCAGTCTACCTAAGAGAATCTAGACCAAAGAAAAATCGAGATCGACCAATGAAATTACACCACTTACTCWCGTCCAGACTCTAATATGCACTGTCATATAATCAAATACTTTTATTGTGATTTGCTAAGTGCTACCAATAAATTATCTGTACCTTGGATTATTTATACAACTAAATGTGTGCTAAACATGACATTGGCAAGCAATAAACGTTTAGGTTTTTCCTGATATCACAGTGCAAGGTTAGCATAAATACATTTTAMAACATTTTAAGACCAGATACTTATATGTTTTTGTAGTTATTTTGTAAATTTAAAACCTGCATCTTTTGTAGGTCATTTTGCATTTTTATAAACATACATTAAAGTATATTATCTTAAAGTGTGAAAAGTTGTTTAATTTTCATATTTTCAAATAAAGACAATATTATTAAATTTGAATAACAGTCACTATGGTTATAATAATTTTTTAACATCATACTCAGACTCTGTCAACCAGTCCTACCCAAGAGATATCCAATCATAAAATTCCTTGCAGACGAATATTGTAAAATTAAAAAAAGCACAGTACCAGCACAGCCATTTTTATGTTGCCAACTTATGTAGGGCAGGATAAATATTATTTGACTGTTATATAAATTTCATATGGAACTCTGTTTTATCTAAAAAAACATTGTCTTTACAACACAATTGTTGCCAATGATTGTGAAACTATGGTAGGTTTTGACCAAAGGCAATTTTTGCAAAGATACTCTACTGCTAGGAAACCGGTTATATTCATAGGAAAAAACARCGATTGTGACTTTGATTTCTTTTGATATACGGCCGGTAGCCATATAATGTAATGTTGTCATAATTATGGTCATATTCTGACAAATTACGATAAGTCAGGGATAGGTTTCAACATATATTACCACAAAATGTCCGGCTTTAAGGAGAATTTTTCTCATATTAAGTAGCGTTAACAGTGGTGTTTTATCTATTTTTGAACTTACTTTATCAACTCCACATTTTTTGAAAGATTCTTGTAGCAGTTTAAAATTTGAAATGTACTCGTGTTCTTGGTTAGTACAGAATTTCACTTTTGATAATTTAACACAATCTAAAAAAAATACAATAAGATAACATTAACCAGATATATAGAAAGTAGAAATAATAAGATAGCGATTCTCTCTTTCGTAATAATAAATAAAACATTGTGTTCTGGCTATATTTTTCAATGACTTCAGATTTCAACATCAGCGAGAAAAGCCCKGAAAATACACCCATCCATTACGACTGCAAAACTTACTTTCAAATAACATATCCATAAACTGACAATACGCAGCCCCTGAAATTAAACAAAAATGACATCTTTTCGTGTAAAGATTAACTTAACATCATTAATCTTGGTTACCGAAATCATAAAGTTCAAAAATGTACAAGAATTGCCATACAGAAAATATGGCGGACTTTGTCACTCACCAGTACACATTTGTTCGACTTTATCCAGGTTTGTATCAAGACTTCCTCTTACCCACTCCATCAGATCATGTCGACTAAGATTGTCTGTAGTCTGGCCAGTAGAGAAAACGTTCACAGCCATTTTCCTTTAGCCAAATTTGCCAATTTTGTGTACAAATGTCACCCTTCCGATGGAAAAATGCACTCAACGTAACAGTGACTCGTGCCCAGTGTCTTTCTAAGAATGGATGCGAGGGACTGTTGTTATAATTTATGCATAATTTGCATAAATGGCGGGAACACTGAAAATAGTCGACAAACAATGCTGAATTTTTTTGGCGGACCGAGTTTTGAGGTTTTTCAAAATGGGGTTGCAACCCCGCATATGTTTCTTTTCAAACTATTGCACGTCGTGGAAGTGAAGCGCCCAGTTCCGTGTACTACACCACTCTCCGAAAAACGGAAAACTTTTGGCTTGGAATATCCGGATTCCGCGGCAAAGGAAAAAMGTGAGGAGGTGGAATCCGGAATTCAGGAACGCTCCGGATTCCATATCATGGGCCGAAATCTTAGAACGGTATACACTATGCATAGAATGCAGATGTTCTATCTCGCGGGGGCTGAATTTAGAGAAATCCCGCGTGTTCGCTTTTCGCGTGAGCTGTCTTTATCATAACCTAGAAAGAACGCACAATGAGTCGAGTAGTATGGCTTGACTAGAACMTTGTAGCTCTGGCGGGCTATGTTCAGTGGCGGATCCACCAATTTTCAAATAAGGGAACCGTCGACAAAAATGTCGAGAAATTTTGGCGGGAATTTCYGTTTCATCGACTTCCTACTTTTCGATCAAAAATATGATAGTTACATAAAATAAAAAATGACGATCACAATCAAATGTGTTTTGAGGGTTATTTTATTTTTCGATGTTTTCTTGTATTCTTTTTTATATAATAGTTATATAGAGAAAAAAAAWTGTTCAGCAAAAGGGGGGAMGCGGTCAGTTCGGCATCCCCTCTAAATCGCCCTTTTGAGTGAGAAAAAGGGACCAACTCTCGAAAACTCAAGATGTCTTTAATCCATTACGTTGTATAACTTATCCTTGAACACTATAAAGATGATGATAAATCCTTCCCTCTTCCCAAACACGTTTGAAAATTCATTTTTTTTTTTCAATTCAAAAATAAGTGTTACAAACGCTTTGATCTTCCTTGTATTTTGAATATACAAAATAATCCTCTTAATTTATTAAAATATGACGATAAAAACGATCTGGTAGCTCTAAAACTAAGAGAATAGCCTAATAATAATATACAACAAAATATAAGATACATGTATAGGTAGATATAACGTTCTGGGAATTTTAGAATGTGAAGACTTGATTTTCCCTTTTCATCTATATTTGAAAAAAAGGAAAATATGTAAGAGCATAATTAATGAAACAATTAAAGGGCTATGATCAACAGGCATTCAATGCGGTCGAGATGATTCCAAATATGCTGTTTGTTGCTATTTGTTCACATCCAAATAGTTGTGCAAAAATACAGATGACGCTTTTCATCCCGAGTAGCGTAGCCAATCAGYAACTAGGCCTTTGCAATAGTCCACTTGTATGCTTTTGCTGCGTTGCAAAAAGAACCGGATAGCAGTTGTTTCCAGCTTGGACGTTTAATTTCAATCAAACTGAGAAACACTTCACTAGCACAAATTTTGCGCGCTTCAAATTTTTAGGTGAAATAAAGCAAGGAACAATCTGGTTCGCTACACGTACAAAAATAAAAAGAAACATTATACGGATATACTATAATATAGCGTTCAACACGTACCAATAATTAAGACGCCTGCTCCTATTTGGTTTGTACCCATACGATAACTACAGGTAGGAATAGTATACTCCCAGAATGAAGGACTTGACGGCTGCCTATGGTAAATCTGTAAATGCTGACGAAACAAAATATAAAGGACACAAGGTAACTAATAGGGCAAAACCTTGATTACAAACTTTTCTATTGTTAAATACAGCTTTTGTTTTTAGCCGTTTAGCCTAGCTTTATATTATACTAACAAATGGATTTGCATAAATGCAATGATAAAATTTAAAATCATGATAAAATTRCTTATTAAAAAATATAGAGCTAAGRCAGTGTAAGTCCTTCATTTTAGAAATGACAATGGCAATGTTGAATGGTAAAATAGTTATGAGAAATGTCCAACGCAAAGATCCTACCTTGTGTGAATGTCCAGCAAGTGACACTTTGGGTTTCAGAGAAGAAATAAACTATCAAAATACAAACAAAATACAATGGATTTTTTGAATATAATCATTATCATGGATCACAGACTTTCTCCAGGAAGGGGTGAAGGTCACCTGAAGAAAGCCACAAAGCTGGAAACGGAGAAAGTACTGTATAAAGTTGCAGAGCAGGTGGCACCCCTAGCACTCACTCACTGTATTGATCACTGTTTCACTAATTCTATTGTAAAGTRCATTTAAAACTATTTAGAGAAGTTTKAAAGTCACCCAACAAATCAAGCTACCAATGGCAATCGCTAACTCGGAGATAGTGTAGGATGATTTTTTCTGAAAAAACAGCACAATGGTTGTAATCCAAATCACAGCAGAAACTCGGTAAATTGTGAAATTTATATGAAGTTTATAGGCTAAAAATAAACAATGCAAGTTAACGACAATGTAGACATACAGACTAAAGGCCATGTCGTTCGTAATCGAAGCAAAAACCCAGTGAAAATGTACAAATAATTATTGCAAAAGAAAAAAATTCTATACCTTTTTTTTCTTCATTTGAATGCAGGGTTTTAACTTATTGCTATTMTCGACTTTTTTTGCACTGTAGTTTCTTACGAGAAGCCAAGATAAAGAAGAAGCTTCATGTAGACTTCACACAATCTCCATGTTAAACAAGGAACTTCTTGTACGTTTGACTATTTCTAACTGTTGACACGCACTGAAAGCGAAAACCCTTTTAAAACCTCTTTCAATTTATGTACAATTTCCACCAACAAATAGAATCTTAAAGACATTTTTTGCTAGTTGTACATTGTAGAAGCAGTTWTATTGGTTATGACACAGGAAACCCAACCTTTCGATCTGGTGTCGCATAAAAGCTAGTAAAACAGTCATGACGTAATGTCTAAATGGGCACATGTTCTAGTGGTAATGAGCCCCATTAAGGACATAAATTTCTTTCTCTTCGAAAAAAAAAGAAAAAGATACAAGAAGACCGTGAAGACAGTCACAGGAAAGTGAGTGACTGACTTAGTGAGTGACAGATCACTCCGAGTTAAAAATCTTGATTTTATACTAGAAATTACATGAAAAGTGTTGTTTGACATTTTGTGTTAAAAAAGATGAGCCTCCATTTGATGTGTCAAATAAATAATGTGGTGCCCAAAATACATTTGAAAAGTTTTCAAGTATATGCTTATGACAATGTTTTCCATGTTATTTTTGGGTGTTCAAACTATCACTTGCCTTTCTTCACTGGTTATTCTATCCTAGGCATCACATCAAGCTATATTACAGCCAGTATACCAAGAATCACATATTTTTTAGCAATGATGACAAATTTAGAGATCTCTAAACATCTACATAATGGGTCATAATAGCTAGTCTCTGCCAGTAGTAGTTGTAATTTACCTTATGATATAAATTGGACGGCAAGTTTGGTAAAGGCGCATGAGCAAGTAATATCACGTTGGAGCCTTCTTTCAACTGCAAATTAATATTCTTGAGGAATTTAACAGTGTGGTAATATGTAGGTTGTTCTTCTTTGTAGGCTGGGAAAGAGAACCTCAGAAAGCTGACTGTGTTTATCTGAAATAAAAACACCACATATAACATGTGTATTAAAGTATCAAAGTTATGTGCACTGTACAAGAATACAATTATACAATCCTCAGCACCATATCAAAAGTAGACAAGCCTATGCATCAGAGACTATAGAGAGATAGCTATTGAGCTTGTAGCGATATCAAATGTACATTCATTAAACCACTGACATTGCCAGCTCAACTATTGTCTCAATCTGATCCAAAGGTATAGCTACTCAAAGGGGCAGAGTGCTACTCAGGCTACGAATGACAAAATGAAGTGTTGATAATGATTAGAATCAAGTGTTTCTTTTCTTGAATTATGAAACACTACTTTAAAAAGTCTTTTATCTAGTAAACAAGAGTAGATGATTTATACATGACTTACTTTGACAAACTGGAAATTCTTAATGTTGATGACATCATTTATTGGCCCAAAATATTTGGAGAATCTTTCAACATTGTGAGATGTTAACACATCTCCACCTTCACCACCAATATCGTTGTCACCAGCTAAGTATATTTTAGGAATATTATCAGGTACAGAAAAGATATCATGAAAGCGATTCTGCAAGACAAATTTAACAAATTAATTTTTTTATTAATAAACTCTTAACATTATAAGATGCCAGTAACTGATTGATGACCGAAATGCACAAAACATTGATTGACAGAATGAGCAGAACATCTAGATGATTGATGAAGTCAATCAGAAATGAACACACCTGTGATGACATTTAGTAATATCATCCAAGACCTTATTTTTTCTCTTTATTTATTTATTTTTTTTGGTAATAGACTAAAGACAAGATAACTGGAGGCTTAACTTATCTTCATTAAATGTTTCTCTTTATATGCTTACATGTATTATACAATATTACAATTTGTAAATTTAATATACCTTGTATATCAGGAAATCATCATCAGTAGCAAAACTTCCTTCATCAAGGAGATCCCCTGGTTGACAACAATACATTCAATAGAATTTACAAATCATTCATCTATATGCTGCACAACCTACACCACACAAGGGTAAAGTGAAGACTCATGAAAAGACAGAGATCTCAAAAATAAATATGAACAAAAACGTCAAACTGAGTTAATAACTAATTTTCATGGTGTTTCAAAAGTTATGAGCTTTTACACGACATTATCATCATTTTTGACTGGGAATGACTATGTCATCAATTTAAATCCGTAAATACCATTAGATATCCAACTGTGTGTGCCTCAAAATCTATAACAGTGTTTCAAATGCCAGGTATAAATTGAAAAATTCTAATCCATATAATTATGCAACTAGTCTAGATTGCTACAATAGCAAATACTTTGTTCACAAGAATATTGAGTATTCAGATTAATATCATGGCTGTTGCTCAAATACTTAATTTTGTAATGCAAATAATAGACACTTTTCATTATGATATTGATTTTACCTAAAAATACAACAACATCAGGTGAAGCATAGCTCATTGCCAGTGAGAAGGTGTTTCTGAGGTATCGGTCTGAGTCCCATCTTGTAATTGCGCCAATAATACTTGGGTGTTCTTGATAATAACCCTGACGATAAAATATGGAACATCCATGAACATAATCACATTTTTTCATATAAATATCAGCAATAGTGCCATCATATCTTTAATTAAATATCATAGAGTTATTTATTTAATGGGATAGACACTCTATACAATTATTGTATCACATAAAAGCAAGCTTTTGGATGTCTGTTTAGTGATAAATATTATTACCAGTATCATTGAATCAGATATTTCATGTTTTAGATCAATAAATGAATTTATTTTTTATTTTTTCCCACACCAGTTCCATTACATGGTGAATATTTAAATAAGTGCAGCATTTTATTTCAGCCAGATGAAGCCTGCCCCACTTGCTGGCTACATGTAATAAGAAGCAATATTCCAACCTGAATTTGCGGATCTGCCAATGCTAAGACATACAATGTTCCAGCTTTGCCACCAGGGACATCCCAAAGTTGAGTTGCTTTATACAAGATGATAATATCCCCAATCAAATACACCACTCCGGCCAGCAGTATGCCAAACACAGTTTTATAAATAATGAGTTGTTGTGAAGATAATCTAGTCATCAGGTAATTGGCAGTGACATCTCATTTCAACCTTTTTTAATACAAAAAAAATTGGAATATTTTGTGCAATAATAACAATTTAAAAAATTCATAATTGTATCATATATTTTTATCTGATTTCACAGATTGTTTCTGTTTATCATTTATGCAGATTGTAATAATTTAGTAATTAGTTTTTAATTAGTTTTATTGATCTGTTATTCAATATTTGCGTCCAATGTATCAGTGCAATTATAAAAAATCATGCACATATATATATAATGCTCATTAAAATGAAAAATATACTTAAATAATCCATTCATATTTATTTTATTTTTTATCTTATTTTTTAATTAAAAAGATAATTTAAGTTTTTTTGCTTTTCATTATCATTCTTAAAAACAGCAGGGTATGTCGCTTAAATTAGCTTTTGATTCATTGATTTTGTCATTTGTGTGTGCCACAAATAAATAATTCAATGTCTTTTGTTATTTTGGGCTTTGAAACTTCCTTTTTATTTTAGAAGTCAATTATACTGGAAATATTGTATTTTATTCTACCAAAAATTATCACCCAAATGAATTCTTGAAATATTTTCATTACAGTTTTATTTTTAAGTACTGCTACAAATACCATCAGAGTATACTAGAATTTATGCAGCTGAGTGTGTCATAAGCAGAAGACAGGGCCTTAATTAAACAGTCTTTTTGGCATAATTTTTACAGCTCTTTGGAGTCCTCAAAAATCAATTCACTTTATTTCAAAAAGATATATAAGCATCAATATTGTGAATCTTACTTCATCTACTCTTGAATAATTCATTTGAATGTTCTGACTTAAATGTTTACTTCTGAGATAATATTTTTACAGTACATGGGTTTATTTGGGAGAAATTATATTGCACTAATCTTTAGAGGTTAATTAGGAAATTAAGAATTCAAACATGCTAAAATATTGGATGACCACAGTGTAACCACAATGTCAATCAAAGTATTAACACTAAATTCAAGACCACCACAAGATATGCTCTACTTATTGTGTAATAATATGTGGCTAAGTTACGGGACGAATATTAATCTGTGTGGAAGAAAAGACAGATTCTTTTAATCTTAAAATATTTTTGGTCAAGGATTGATGTATAGTTAAAAACAAAAATTTCAAAAACATTAGTCTCTTATCCAAAAATTATAAATGGCAATTGGTTGTGAAAAGCAGTGTGTTAAGCCCCTATAGCACTTTGCATCTATAGAATATTAAAATCTTTTCTCTGGAAATGTGGTATATTAAAATCACCAATAAAGCTCTTTCCTTTTCTAATTAAATGCTGTTATTATAAATAAGACATTCACATGTCTTGAATTAAATAGCAGGTATAAAAAGCCTTATACCCTATCTGTTGGCACACACCTATTGTACACCTATAGCAAATCTATGGCATTAACCACCCCCCCCCCCTCCCTACACCCAGGCTGAGCTTCCCCCCACTCAAAATGATGAAGATCAAATCATAGTTATTTACTATGATCATATGAAAATGATTACACAAGGTCACTTGGGTGTGAGTCCTGGGCTGTCACAGCAGGCCATATTTTATGATATATTACGTACACAAATGGTAAAAATACATGCAACGTCACTGCACTAAATATATGATTATTCGTGTAAGATCACGTCATCATAATGCACAAACGTTGTGACAGAAGGTTAGCTACATTGATAGCACTGAATTTATCTAAATGCCTTCTACACTTTAGCAAAGAATAGTTTAAATTTTCCTGATAATGATGTGGGCATCAGTGATCTTCTGATGTATCCCGATCTCAAACTTCGCTAAATTATTAACACATCGGCGCCAAATTTTGAATTCAATTCTCAAGATAATAAACTCTAGATTACACGAGAATAATCCATTTATACAGTACGTCATTCATTTTTAAGGAAACTGCTGAAATGTTCTTTGATACTTACAATTCTCCATCTCCAAGTTCATTCGCAACACCGGACAACGAGCCTTCAACAAAATGAACACTTTGCACACCATATTAGGGCACAGGGGATTAAATTACATTTTGCGAGAAAGTTTCGTTGGGCTTGAAATTAAAAGATGCACCAAAACTATCATTGAAGCCTTTATGAATTAATTTTGGGGATTTTCACCGACAAAAAGATTCACGATTTTTTCTGCAGACTAGACTGCAACGAAACTATTTCGACTTAGGTTTAGCCAGGCGTTCCTCGTATTTAAATTAGATATTCCGAGTAGACCTGGATACCAGTTAGTGGCCCGTGACCCTCAAAAGTTAGGTGCGATATCAAAAGTATGGATGAAGAAAGAGGCAATAATGATAGTGCAACCAGCCCAGTGGACCCTTTCTCACTAAATCGCGAACGATCGACTAGCGACCCTTGTATCAGAAAAGGGCTTCTAGTTAGTAACGGAAGAAACATGGAGAAAAGACCGAGCGAAAGGAACGGTCTTGTGTCGGCGACGATTGCAAGAGACGCTGTACACGGTACTCCACCACCAGTTAGAAAGAATAAATTCGCTTCTAGTTTCGGCAAACTCTTTCGACCGTGGAAATGGAGAAAGAGAAAGAAGAGTGAACGATTCATAGCGACATCACAAAGTAAGGTTTTGTCCCTAATTACCTATTTATCTAGAGTCTAATTGTCGGTGGAAATCACAACCGTTCTAGGATCTTTAACGCTGGTCGATCGCGAAGAAATTTTCATTTCTTTCAAAATTTGCTGCATTAGCAAAGACTTGCTTCTTGTCGAGTGAATGACAATAGTAGATTTTCAACTTTTGATTATTATTGAGCTTTTCTGCTTGCCACGAAATGCTATTTCGACGGTCAAAGGCATTTCCCGATAGATGACACTTCTCTCCATTCTACTCGGATCACGGATGTACATATGTTACGTGCCTAATTTCGTCCTCTCCCCCGAGTCAAAACATCGAAGCTAAAACCAAGCTCTTTCAGTCTTGACATTCTCTCTTGGATATCAAGTTGTCCTAGAAATATACTTTAGTATCAATATTTACGTTGAGTAAATTTTAAATACTGTTCTGTAAGCGTGTGTGATCAAATTGGTTGTGGACATCACTCCATCCATGATAAAGTCGCATGAAATGGTTATAAAAGCTCATTTGGTTGTTTCAAAGGATTTTAGAGTCATCGATGCGAAGGAATTCATTTGTCGAAGTCACTTATTTAATTTAGTGTTTTCTCTTACTTTCCACAGAATCTGAATTTATGTTGCTACATCAGAAAAATTAAAATAACGTTAGGTGGCACAGTTACCCGATATGATTTTAGATGCTATTAAAATCACTGCATGTTGTTGCTTTGAATGTTTCGGCCTCGAACCTTATATTCTATGGTCTATTTTGAAAATGGACTTCCAGGTGCTTTCGAAAGAATGTAGAACGAAAATATCAATTTATTGACATAATACTATTTTGCTGCATTTTGGCTGCTATTGTTGGTTTTTCTTTGTAAAGATCACGATATATGAGGTATATTTGCATGTCAAAAAGACCCTTCCGGCCATCGAGGAGAATTGTATACCCTGTTTAATATTTCTACTAAAGGGTTGCAATTGTTTACGTAATATTACCTCCTAGGTTTTGGATATGAATGTAAAATCACTAAATATTGTTAATATGGTCAATCCGTGGATAAGCCAAGTATATTCTCTAAATGTTAGAGAAGATTATTCTAGAAAATAGAATAAATTATTTTGTACAAAATTTGGTTCAAATATAAGCTTAATAAATCCTGAATAGCATACGGCAGACGTTGGCACTTTGGCAAGTGTTGAAAACATCGTTAATATAATCTGTCCACGTTTTGGGTTATTAATATTCTTTTTTGTAGTCTTGCATTGAACGTTTATATTTTTTTACCAAACTTGCTCCATTGCCCAAGAATAAAAAACCCCTGTTCTTAGTTGTGAACGATATGCATGCATTGTCCGTTTTGAGAGTTTATATTCTAGATTATTATTATTATTATAATTACATATATTTTCATGTCCAATTCTCATGATGATTTTAGCTTTTTCACCGTGTCTTTTCTGGTGTTAACATACCTTGCCATCATGTAAACAAAATTGTAAAAATTGTAGGATTTTATGTTTAATTAATGATTTTGGTTTGAAATATGTATTTGTTTTAAGTACATCAATAATGAATCATGTAAATTGTGCTTTATTATTGTTTTTGTAAACAACATAAGTGTCATTTTGGTGAATGCTTTTTGATCATATATCAGTCATCTCAGTTGGTAGAGCACTTCTCTACCATGCTGAAAGACAGCATTCATATCTTGGTCTCTCAAGGTCTTGAATTAATTGAGATTTCTTCACCTGCAAATGGTTAGATTATCACATCTCCGATAAGGATGATATGCTCTAAGCTCCATCTCCCCCACACTTCACTTATCAATGTGAAAACCTCGGCTATGATAACCATAAGTGACTGGCTCACTCTAACAACCACAGTACAGTCCAGTGCAGAAGAGGAACAACATTAAAGTTGAATAATATCAAGCAATATTTTTGTTGTGATATTTCTCCTGACTCGACATTAAATGACATCTCAAGCCATTAGTTTTCCTTTCGCTTGCATAAAAGCCTTCATTTTGTTATAGAAAAAATAATTTTCATCTCTAACTGAGACCTTATCATTTCAAATCTAATTAAATGCAACACTTACTTGGGAGCACATTAAAAAAAATATGTTTGAGTACAGTATAAAAGCAACAATATAAACTACTAAGGAATCTTGACTTGATTCCACTCACAGACTATATAACTTGTTTGTGACCAGAGATGAATTTTCTCTTCTTATTCACACTTACTTGGTTATTTGTCTCTCAGTTGGGTGTTGAGAAAAGAACCCCTGTAATGCTCATGACAAAGTCCTGAACTGTGGAAAATACAAAGAACTCAATGACTTATTGTTCTGGTTTTCTATTACCATATGTATTGTCACTCTTCTTCATCTTTAGATTCACTGTCTCTGATGATGCTATAGACAACAAAAGCTCAGACTTATTATATTTAATAAACTTACAGCATATTACTTGGCCACAATTGTATTTCTTGATATATTTACTTTCTGCTGAAGGAGAACTTATGTCTGTCCTTAAAGTGCTTTGCAGCTGAGTCCAAACCTTAAATAACATATTTACTATATATTGTTCATGATGTATTGTTATGTCATGCCCTAGCTAGACGAAAAACACCAATACCATTCACTCTAATGAAGGGAGAGAGGTGAAGGGTGTGTGTGTGTGTGGTTGTGTTATAGGATTAAAGTGTTACTTATTTGATGATTTCTACATTAGTCGTATTATTTTCAGAAAGTACATTGTTTCATTAGAGCTTTTGTCTTGTAGATCTGGAGAGACAATTGTCAGTAAGAGCCAAGCGTGAAGAATTAGTAGAAAAAGGAATAATTCCAAATAACAACTTTGAAGGGGAAGGTAATAACTATGACAGCTGTAATATTTTAATATTGATATTATGTATAATATAGCAAAAGTGTTGGTGAATGGTACCTTCAAAGTCTCGTCAAAAACTAGTCTCTTTTAACGGAACCACAACTTCCCGTCTCATCAAATTTCCTCCCCAAAAGTAACGGCTGTTTACCCAGGCAAAACATTCCTTTCCCTTTGACTGACCAATCATGGCTTAGCTCCTGAAAACCATAACCGTTCACGCCATAATAAAACAAGATAGTTGTTATTGCAGCTGCAAAATTTATAATTATACAGTTAAATGACCATCAGAAGAATGCTATTCTCAAGTTTATAGTAGATAGAGTCAATCGATATGTTCATAATCGGCCCACTGGGTTTGGAAAATCGTTAATAGCCGACTTGCAAATTACGCATCAATAGTCACATACAAAGGAATCAAGACGAGGCGCCGTGCTAAAGACAATAGATTTTTCACAAAAAAGCATGGCGCCTCRTCTTGATTCCTTTGTATGTGACTATTGATGCGTAATTCGCAAGTCGGCTATTTGTCAAACATTGGATCACAAGTTGGGTTTGTTGGGAATTATTGTCACTGTGTGCTTAATCCTTTTTATAAACTTGCTTGAAACAAAGAAAACACTTACTATTATCTCCGATAAGCGTTTTCTGCGAAATCAACATCACTAACTACAAACAGGGTGCTGGAATGAAGTCACGCGGGAAATTTATCAGGTTCAATTCAAAACATTTTGATTGCCTTTGATCCTCTCTCTCTTCTTTTGATTGGTTGTTGTTAAACAATAGGAAAGGAATATTGCGCCTGGGTAAACAGCCATTGCTTTTGGGGTGGAAATTTGACAAGACCGGAGGTAGCGGCTGTTAAAAGAGACTAGTCAAAAACTACAAAATCTTGTATTCCTCAGAGTATCCTTTCCATTTAATTTTGTTTCTTGGTCTCCAATTGTTGTCATTTCACTCATTTGCATTTCAACCCATTTATTTATTTCCTTTTCTCTTAGAAGACACTAGAGTTCATGCCAATGGGACAATAGTAGAGGAAGAATCAGCAGTTCGAGAGGCACCAGCTGTTGCTCCTAAACCTTTAAGAGATACAAATAAAAGAGGAATTCTGAAAAATTCACCATTACCAAAAAGGTGTCATGAAGAGAAAGTTGAACAAGAGCTTATGGTAAAGCAAGTAGATCAAGGTAGTATGATGGACCAGCTGGCAAGAGAATTCGGTAAGTAAAATACTATTGTAAGTATCTATAGGCTGAAAGTAAGGATTTGAGCATCTTTGAAGTCCATACTGTTATAAACACGAATTCCAACAACTTTGAAATGAAATTTGGAGGTTTTTTGATGTTTTCGCAAGGTCATTAATAATTTCAGGAAGAAATCATGAACACATATACACTGTAGTATGAGATCATGTGCAAACAACCTAGAAAAGCTTTCTTATGCCACGTGCAATAGCAACAGATTTCTTACCAGCTTGTTGAATTTCTTTAAAATTTACAACCCACTTAGAGGGGGTCCCAATTATTGCAAGATGGGGGACCCAGAGGTTACTGCTTGAAGTACTTTCAATTTTTTTTTGAAGTACAAGGACTTTGAAATATGAATTATAATCTTTCATTGGATTATGAAAAAAAATTTCAAGGAGGCTGCTAGGTTGGCCATTTACCTAAAATCATGAGTTTGTGAATGTTGGATCAACAATGAAAGGTTACTGCATGTATCATGCTGATCTTAGTATTTGCTCGTTTAATAATTCTTGCAGCCAAACGAGGAATGAGTGATAGCAAACCAAGCACAATTAATACTGCTACTGATCGAAATAAAGGGTTTGTACCTTGGTTATTATTTAATAAGCTGTATGAACTAAAATTGTGTATTTAAGCCACTCTCTTCTACCATTTCTTCCCTCCCCCTGAATTACTATTGCCTCTTTTTATAGGATGACCTGCATTAATGACAACCAACATTGTGTTGTGGGAGGGGGACCAATGTCTATAATTTGTAAAGATATTGGGATCTTTAAGATAGATAACAATGCACATGCTTTTTGAAATCATAAAGATTTGTTTGCAAAATAAGAAAGTAGACATTTATGGTAACTTTAGTTTCACTGATGTACAGTCACCATATTGACACTGTTGGCATATTTTTCTATCTTCATTTTCTCCATCCCTTTAGCATTACGAAGACATCCTTGCTCTCACTCTAGCCCTGTAGCACTGTAGCAACGTTAAGCCCTGTGACACATTTTGACATACAACACTATGTGGCCCTGTAACACCATGTAGCCCCACAACACCATGTAGCCCTGTAACACCATGTAGCCATGTAACACCATGTAGCCATGTAACACCATGTAGCCCTGTAACACCATGTAGCTCTGTAGCACCATGTAGCTCTGTAGCACTATGTAGCTCTATAACACCATGTAGCTCTGTAACACCATGTAGTCCTGTAACACCATGTAGCCCTGCAACACCATGTAGCCCTGTAACACCATGTAGCTCTGTAGCACCATGTAGCTCTGTAGCACTATGTAGCTCTATAACACCATGTAGCTCTGTAACACCATGTAGTCCTGTAACACCATGTAGCTCTGTAACACCATGTAGCCCCGCAACGCCATGTAGCTCTGTAGCTCTTTGTTTTGGCCATTGAATAAGCAATAAAGTTTTAGAATATATATCAGTTTAATATATATTTGTTGAAAGTTTATTATATATTTTGTTTTTGTGATACAGGATGTTGACTTTCCAAAATGTAAAACACAATACAGGTGATGAAGACAGTGACTCTGATGCAGAACAAAACCGCCATGAGCCAAGAATAAAATGTGGCATACGACTACCAACACCTCGAAAGAGCAAACTACCTAAATCAGAAACCCAAGCACCAGCAAGTGACTCTGATGAAGAGGAAGAGGAAGAAGGCGTTGTTACAGGTATGGAATAAAAAATTCCTTGTATAAACATAGCCTACACTGTGGATTACAAATCTGAGACTTTGATTCTCAACTCATGTTCCCATGTTTACTATTAATGGTAACTGGTCATGTTGTCATGACAACCTATCTTGCTTGGTTTAAACAGTGACGTCTTTATTGAATCAAAAAAAGTCAAAGAAAGGATGATTGACTAATTTGGTTTGAGAGCTTGTTATATAGCCATTTTGCAAAGTGAACCATTTAATAGACATACTTGTATAATGCAGGAAGATGAGAAGTCCAGTCAATGACTGATACAGGAAACTCAGTCAATAATTTCACACAGGCAACCCAACTATTTCTTCTGAATTGATTGCCTTGAATCAAACTACTTTGCTTTCCTAGGACTTGCATCAAAGCTCAAAAGGTCTGACAGTCTAGCCATTAAGTTAAAAGCCAGACCTACCAAGAAAGATCTAGAGGACAAGAACATTTTACCAAGTAAGATATAGTTCTTTACATTGTGAACACTTGAACCATGATCTTCTAGAGGTTTTTGTGTTTGTAAATGTTTGTCTGAACCAATCAGAGACCTGGTTTATGTCATAGGAAAGTAACTTTTTAGTTTGAGTTGGCATGTTTTTCAGTTAAAAGCCATTCATACTGTTTGTTGTTAAAAATTTAGAATGGTTTACTTTATGCAATATCAATAGCTGTAAAATTGATGTAAGTTGTCTTGTTTTTGTCGCACATCATACAAGCTTAATTTGTATTTCAATTCAAATCATTAGGTTGATCAAATCATTGGTACATTTATCAATCAATACAAAAAGTTTTTTAAATTTGTCTTTTTACCATATGATCACTATGCACACAGATAAATTTATTTTCACAATTAAGATTTAAAAGAGATGAAAGTCATATTAATAATTTTCTTCATTTCATATTGTCATGATTAACACTATAAAGTAGTAGTTTGCCCTATTTGTTTAATGGATTATGTTTTTCTACTTTGCAATGATTATAAGTTCAAATTAAGTTCTGAATTTTTTTGAGGGAGAGCTAATGTCACCACTGACAATGTGTCACATGACACCTCTTGGCATAGACAGAATATTCTCGATTCTACATCAAAATTTCAAAAAACAAACAAACAACAAATGATTCCACCATATAACTACATGATTGTATATTGGTATCCCCCCTAAGATTTCCAACCTAGGCAATCTTTTTTATACAATGTCTTCTATATACAAATATCTGACAGCTGATAACTGTCATGTGTTGTGCTCACTAAAACTCAGAATATTAGAATTTCAATGAACATAACATAGGAATTTGAGAAGTCATACTAGCTGAAAATATGAACTTTGCCAAGTGCTAACAGGAACCATTCTGTGAGGTAGCTACAGCAGGTGTGCCCTATTGGCATCAGATACAGCATTAGTTGTTATTGGTTTAAAATAATTGAAGTTGTAAAGATTATCAAAGTTTCTGCCTCAAATTGCCAGAATTGTACTTGTAATTGTACTCAAAACATTTGACAATCTTAATATGTTAACCAGTCAAAGTGACTACTAGTAACAGTAATATAGCAACAATAATATTAATTTATAGAAGATAATTTTGTTAGTATTTACAGTAATGCTTCTGTTTTACTAAAGAGATACGCTGCAACCTTGGTTTGGGAGTGATTTGTCTTCTTTTTAGAAAAATAATGTGGCTTATACATGAGTAAATATGGTTAAAAAAGTTTTATGAAACTTTGTTTTTCTAATTAACTCTGATACAATTGTCTTTGAGTATTCAGAGTAGAACTACTGTATCAACTGCTGTAAACCAGGCTCTCATTTCTTCCCAACCTCACCCACCCCTCCCCTAGTGCTGCTACACAAGCTAAGCAGGAACTTGTGTGGTATTAAAAAGCCAATCATTTTTAAATTTACATCAATTAATGAAAAATAGATAAACATCACAGCTATTACATCACTATATTTATTGATGAACGAACAAACATTTGAAGAATGAATACTAATGCCTTATAAAGAAATGTGTGTAATCTCTTTATACAATAAATTGAACATTACATGTACATTTTGGTGAGTTTGATAGTGCTATTATTAATATTTCTAGGATATTCTAGAGGGTAAGTTAGTGTTATCAAAATACAGTCTCATTATTACCAACTTATCACCATTTTGTAAATTATACATAACGTCTACTGACAGACAACTATTGATTATTATCAAATAATGCCAACATAAGCAGTTTGCTTTTGTGTGACTTATTAACAGATTAAGAGATCCTTAAATCCTTACACCATATCTGAAGTGGAACATTGCAAAATGCCCTTCATTTGCATATTGGTTACACATGTTATTTTAAATTTTCTTTCTCTAAGCTTTGCTTTGCTATCAAACAAGAGTGCCTGGATTTCTATTTGAGTGTATAATTGTGTTTTGGTATTAGGTTGTTAAATAGGTTGAGCCCTGAATTATTATCTTAGAATTGGTAAGGTTTTTGTGGCCAAAAAACCTCCCACATTAATCTTGCTGCTGATCAAAATAATAATACTTTTAAAGCTTTTTAATCCACATGATATTTACAATAATCAAGATATGAATACCAAAACCACTTTGTGTTTACATTGGCCATACTTTTAATATGCACAAGTATTCAGCAAATACCTTTTGTTTTTGAATTTTTTCTAATTCACAAAACTCTGCACCTGCTAACATTCAGACTAATTGTATTGTGCAATTATTAATCCCACCAATGAGGCTATCTTACCACATTTTACTGGCTGAGATACCAAAAATATGTATGGTAATCATGAGAGAAGGCTGCTTATTCTCAACAATCTTTTGAGAAAATCATCTATACAAGTTCCAGATTAAGATATGCTTGTGTATGAATTCAAATGAAGATTTGTGCTGAGCAAGCTATGTTGTTTTTGAGACAGATTATGACCCTTGTTGGTCCACAGTTAAATGATTTGAGTTTACGTGAGTACATTTACACATATTTATTCTGTTATAATAGGCAATAGGAATAAACAATATTCTTCTGTTGTTAAGATAGTTCTAAATTAGCAGGAATTTTTATCAAGTACGTTTTATAACTGTATTGTCCATGCTTATCATTACCTAGTTCCTGTTTTTGAAGAAGTAGTCACTTAATATATTCATTGCTAAATGAACTGTAATTGTTGTTTTCACTTTCCGTTAAGCTTTTTATCAGTACAGATGATATGTTATAATTGTGTAAAACAAGATGATTTATTGTAGATATCTTTATATTTATACTGTATAATCCACAGCATGTATGAATACCACCATATTATCAAAATAATTATTTTCTTTAGTCATTCACCAACAATATTCTGAGATTCTTTTTTGAGCAGTTCTTTTAATGATAATTGTGTGAAGAAAATAATTTTCTTCTCTTGAAATAATGTCACCATTAATTGTTAGAAGTGCTGGTGCTTTTTAATAATTCCATCAACTTGCAACTAGTATGCAAATAGCACCTTTCCTAGCAACCAATTCAGTGAACTTCCTGGAAGCTGATATCAAGGATAATTTTAGACAGTGTAATCAGTGTATCAACTTTTAAAAATCCGAGTGATTATATAATGTTGAGGACATTTACTTAGACTAAATATTTGTACGTTTTGAACAGTTTGCTGACAATTTTAATAGGAGATTATCTCAGAAAGCTGAAAAGAGTAAAGAGTTATCAATAAAAGCAAACAAAAGATTTCATTATAAACTATTATTCATCTTTTGTATCAGTTTTGAAGTTTTAAAGATTAAAATCTTTTATCTTATTTTAACTTAACTGACAGTTTATTTTTTCTTCTTTAGCTTGAAAACATTTCTATAGATTTTTGAGTGGGCATTAGATTCCCTTTTCAATTTCCTTCTTTTAGGGCCTGATTATATGACGTGGGCTGCCCTGGTTCAATGGGCTGGTTTATTCTAGATTATTTTCCCTCGGAGACACAAAGCAAAAGAAACCACCCTGGGCCTCAGTACAGATGTACAACCCTGGTTTCCTTCAAATTACTTATTTTAAAAAAAGTTAATAAAGGAGAAAACAAGTTTCATTCCTATTTTGGGGGCGTTTTGTCATAGTTACCACATTTGTCAGAATTAAAAGTAAGTTTAAGTGTTTTACTTACAGCTAAAACAGAGGAAGAAATTCATGAGAGAAGAGCTGCTGTTGGATCTCAACTAGTCAGGTATGTCTGTTTGAAATAAGAACTCTTCTGTGTGCCGCAACTTTGTAATTGTACAGAGCATTGTAGTGTAAAATGAATTATGGTATGGCTAAACTGAGGTGCATGTAGCTGGTTACATTGCCGCTCTCTACATTCGGAACCAACTAAACCGAGAGACAAAGTCCTAGGCATAGATTTTGTTATAGACTTCAATTGTTGTGCTAAAAGGGTTTCCGAAGTGGATATGAAAACAGAGAGAAAATTAAGGAAGCCAACCATCAAGTGAATGTGTCGTAGTGTCAMGTGRATGTGTCGTAGTGTCAYGTGRATGTGTCGTARTGTCAYGTGRATGTGTCGTAATGTCACGTGRATGTGTCGTAATGTCACGTGAATGTGTCGTARTGTCACGTGAATGTGTCGTAGTGTCACGTGRATGTGTCGTAGTGTCACGTGRATGTGTCGTAGTGTCACGTGAATGTGTCGTAGTGTCACGTGAATGTGTCGTAGTTGACCCCTGTCTTTCTGTTTCATACATATACCTATTTCAAAAAAGGTTGTCGGATAAAATGGCGAATGGAAATTGTCAAACGGCGATTGTACGACCGAAAGGAGTCATGGGTTTTGCTAATGGATGGGAAATAATAACTGATTTTTACCATAAGATATTCTATGGTCATCATTGGTTTCATTTAGTCTCCATTTTCACGCAAGTAAACCCAACAATTGAATTTTTTGTATGTCAAACAGCGTAACCATAGTCTTTTTTTGTCGTGCATTCTCCCTTCGACAATCGCCGCTCGCCGTTCTCCCCGACAACGTTTTTTGAAATAAGTGTATATATTTGACAATTGAGAGGAGGTCCTTCTGAAACAGGTGTTGATGAAAATAGGGGTTTGAAGTTTGAAAAACTTGCATGGATACTTAGCCTTTGAATTTTATGCTTAATAGCACGGCTCCAAGTGACGCATTTCTGTGTGTTTTGTCAATCGTAGAATGCTAGCAGATTTTATCTCGTGAAGCCGAAAGGCAAAGCAAATCTCTGAGGACTGTTGAATCGTAGTTGGCCAAAACGACATCAAATTAACATTCCAAGCTGACCGTTAATAGCTCAAATGATTCAACTAATACATATTTGACAATTAAATTCATACGATAATTTTAGATTCGAAGTGACGGAGTTTAAAAATGGCAATATTCGATAGTCGTTAGGTCGAGTAACCTTTACTTTCGCAGTCAGAGGTCTATTCGTGCGTCGGGATTACATCAAAGAATGCGCAAGTAGTACATTTTATAGTTCAAAATCATGACACCTTTTAGGGTACATTGGGGTTAATTATCCCTGTAATAGTTGCCCGCAGAAACTGGATGTTCCGAAAAACGTCATGTCGCTTGAATGTCGCTTTCGAACTACATTATCGGAGGACTATTTGTTAGTTTCCACGGGCAACTATCACAGCATTATGCCGATTCAACTACTTTATTGTTTAAATAGTCGTACTTTAAACACATCAATCAAGCCATGGGTCCCCAACCTGGCGATAGCTGGATTTGAACGTAAATAACTTAGCATGGGTTTGGACGCATTTTTAACACCGGCTATGAAGGGATGGCAAAATGATGCATTTGAGGTGGGAAATACCCGCCATAACTTTGAATTTCAGACAATCTCTAATGAACGTTTTGTGTGGTTTCTACGTTATTGAACTTTGAACTTGCTCCATTCATTTCTGATTGGTTAAAAGTAACCGGTTTAAAACTTGCCACCTGCAACATGACATCTTAACCCATGCAGTGGGTATGTTAATAACATTCATTGTTTCATGTAACAGTTTAATTCAAAAACCGTTTGGTCATTTACTACATTTAACCTTTAATTCCTACAAGAGCTAGTGTTTCCCTCACCCATGTGGTAAAAGGCAGTGATTTTGTGCATGGCTGTTACCAACTACGACATTATCACCAATGACGTCTTATAAAGAATTGACTAACTTCAAGCCTTAGGCTATTTTGAAAGCGATAACCAACCACTAACAAGCTAATTATATCGTTCTGAAATCATTTTTGAATGCCCATCAAACGGTACATGAGAGCTGCAATGTTGGTCCAACAGTTTTTATGCTGTTATGAGTCGCGATGTCGTATTTGATTCTCAGTTCGGTTTGTTTCATCGATGGTTGTATTTCGAGATTATTCCAAGTTATTTTGAACAAAAATGTGAAATCCAGTATGCTGTGTGACTTGGTGTGGAATTTGGAGATAGCACTATACTTTTTCGTTTCGAAATTCGTCAAATTCATGTAAGTATTTTATCTGAGATGATTTCTTTAGCTTTTTATCGGGGGTCATATTTTATCGTTTCTTTCTCTTCTTTTTTGATGTCTATAACTTAACAGGCGCAAGTTGCTCCAATTTTAGAATATGCACTGGAATCGATGAATTGTTAAGTTTACTAGCAGAAAAAATAAGTATATGCTATTTGACTTAATTTTATAGCAGTACATTGGTAATAGTAAAAAAATATACACTTTTGAAGATGCCATGTTACTTGAGATTGCTGATAGTATAATTGAATAAGAATAATTGCCCTAAGTGATGAGTTAAATGCTCGCTGACGTACTAGAGTGACGAATAGTCTATCCATTCTAAAGTCCATTGTCAGAATTACGCAACATTGCAATAATGAACATCTGAAGAGGCTCCACACTGATACCCTTTTCTATCGTTTTTTTATTGTTCTCCGTTCTAAAGTGAATGAAATATGAATTAAAACGCTACAACAACGCGTTGATAAGATGATGAAATAGATAAGCAGATGGAGCATTTCATTTCAATTAGACAAGAATGTGTCCTAAAGTCCTTTGAATAATTACATTCCATTTATCGTTTTACTTGTGTGCTCGAGGGGTTATCTCCTTACTTTTTTTTATTTTGCGGTGTCTTTAAACCATTTCTCATTCATCTATTTAGTCGTTTTCAAATTGCTAAATTAATAATTCATCAATGAAATATTTTTTCTCTTTTCGCATCATTCATGCATTCGTATTTTTTTTCCCATATTCACTATTTATCGAACCCATGTTTTTCTCGAATTATTCAAAATTGTTTTTATTTCTTTACCATCAACTTTTCTAATAGTAATTTTTATGCATGCTTCAGATTATTCTATGATTGATGTTGATAGCTAAATCCTACAGCGTTTTTCAAAAGTTCTGTAAAAGTAAATTATATCTATATATTCGTATATATAATAGTGCATTCTTGGTAATTTCCACTGTAAACGTGGCTAAAACAAGCTTATATCCACATATCTGAACTACATTCGTGAACCTATTGGCGAACAAACGTCAGCATTTGAACTAATATAACATGTCATTCAAAACCTTGCCAAATGTTTCGATTATGCACACTTAAATGAGGAACAGGTCATTGGCAACATCTTTGGACTCACTCAGTGGTAAACTTTTTCAATTTCGACCTTTACAGTGCTCAATAGCAAATTGTTATGGAAAAATATTAGTTATTTGTTCAAGTCAGTCCTGCTCACTGAATCAACTTTCTTCGATGTTTTCTGATTTACTAATAATTTTGTTATTATTTAATTTATCTATTTGTGTTTAATATTTATTTATTCATTTATGTAGCAATTATTTTGCTGTTTCAGCTTGTATTATTTATTTATTTTTTGTATTTTTCTTTAGACGTTTAAGCACACGACCGACAGCTCAAGAATTAAGAGAAAGAAATATCTTGAGAAGTAAGTCTTTCACTCTTTTTTCTCTTCTCTCTATTTCGACCATTGGTACATTGGCAAGAAAAACTTATTTTATCTAATTTATTTTATTTATTTATTCTTTTTTTTCTTTTTAACTTAATTTAATTTTTTCGTTCCGCCATCCTAGGATTTACGTGCTGTGATTGGCTGGTGCGCGGTCCGGCATTTTCACGCTCTGCCAGGTCTTGCGATATCCCACATGTTAAAACAAAAAATAAAGCATAAAAAGTACATAATTTTTTTACCTGCTAAATGCCGGTCCATAAATGAAAAAAATTCTCCTGCGGCCTTGGTGGGTACATTAGACCTCCGGTAGTTTTTCACTGTACAAACCAACATTAAGTTCCTTATAGCAAGGATATCTGAGTGATAACTTTGGTGTTAATCGCCTGAGAAACACAGAGTTCTTCGCTTAGTTCTTGAAACACGTTGAGCTTTTATCCTTCTACCAAGTTTTGCATGAAAAATAAAACTTTTGGTAGATAACTGAATTTAACTGAGGGAGCGTTTCGCCACAGAAAAGGATTCCATTATTTAATATAAACACAAAGAAATCAATTCTAGAAATCAGTACCACTAGGGACCACTAGCCTCGCTGGCAACTGTTTTGGTGATAATCTTGTTATCACTAATTGCTAACACTTTGTTTCACGGGTTAACTAAAACCACAATATTTACTTATTCACATTGATTTATTTTTGTCTGAATTCATTTATTTGTATTTTGTTTTTTTGTAGCTGGAACAGAGGAAGAAGCTAAAGAAGCAATAGAAGAAAAGAAGCGAGTATTGACTAGAAAGGTACAGACGTTTAAATATATATGCCACGAGACTGTGACGCTCATCAGTCGAAGTTTCTAGTCACATGACGAGCAAGCGTAGGAAACCATTTCACTCTTCGTTTATTCGTGTTTTACAATACATAAGATGTTGTCTTAATCTGGCCACCTACTACTGAGCGAATTAGTGTATTTTCAACAACGACGATTTTTCATTACGATGGAGCCGTTATCTTGGCTGGTGATTGGCTTCAATGGGATAATAGCTCGACAAGACCTTGCCTCACCATCATTGTACATTATGACGTTCCAACATTTTCAATTATTAATACCACAATTGTCATCTATCCTGCTTTGTTTAGAGTGAAATATCTTCTAGAAAGTGTGAGAGATATCTACTAAAAATGTGCTTTTAAGACTACAAAGTATTACAGTGTTTGAACTATCCAAATCAAACGCTCGGTTTTTGTCGTGGCTTGTTTGCTAATGAGGCTCGGAGATGTTTTTATCAAGGTAGCTCACAGATACATCTGGACCATTTTGTAATGTGATTTAAACCATCCTATATGTAAACACACGCTTTTATCGTTTCTAAAACACTTGTCAAGAGGCTCCGCTGATAAATTAAGATTATTGTGGTTTTGTTTAGAGATATTCTGTCCTTTGATCGGATTGTGATGGCTTCTCAATCGTTTTATCTTAGCCGATGCGGTTTCAATTATCTGTAAATATTCTGCTTTGTAATTCTCAGCACTAATTCTTGTCTTTATTTTACGTTCGCAGTTAAGTCGGAGACCGACAATTCAAGAACTGAAAGCCAAGAAAATTATCAAATTTAGTGAATATGTGGACTGTTTAGAGTGCCACGATTATGACCGAAGGTAAGCATTGCCTCACAAGTACATTTTAGATTTTTTCGCTCATAAGAAGTCTTATCATTTCATTTTGTTTGTTTTTAAGCCTTTTCAAGCCCCATTAGTGTTCATGTAATCTTTTCAAGCTATTATGTTCGTCTTTCAAGCTATGACATTAGCCTTTCGAGGCATTTTCGTCGTGTTGTTTCCGCCCATTTCTGAATTCCACTGTAATTTTACTTTTTCTTTAAAAAAAAAAACAAACTAGTTTCTAATTTAACTGCGAGTTTTATACGAATATACAAATATCATGAAAGGCATTTTATTTTTATGAATATCTTCCAATTTATTCATTTTTTGAGTTTCTTACGTCAGACAGCACCATTTTTTCTTTTGAAGTGAAAATTGTTTTAGCGATTCTCACCATTTTAATCATTTGTGGTTTAACAAGTTTTGTATCCATATTATTCGTTTACGCGGTATTTGCAGGAATATTCGTGGAGGCGCATCACAATTTGTTACTCTCCGCATTGGTACTGTTTTATTTCGTAATCAACTTAGAATCTACCTGGATACTGTTACGAACCCCGAATGTGGAAATATTCAAACTGCATCTAAACTAACTGAAGATCACACAGAACTTGTAAAGGGACTTGATACTTTCACAGCGCACATCTCTATTCTATCTATAACGCATCACAAGAAATTAGTTTACAAAGTTGTCTTCGTTAAATCAAGACAACAAAACCTTTTTTCTGAAAAAAACGATCAAATCGATTAGGTATTTATTATTTCCAGAATAGCCGCAAAAAATGCCTGTTAGCGCATGCTGTGAGTATTTGAATAACGAACGCCCCCTTCACATAAATATTACAAGTGTTTTGGGCATGTTGAACATATTTCTAATATACTTAACGCTTTTAGGGCCGACAAACCGTGGACAAGACTTACACCAGAAGATAAGGTATTCATTGGATTAAAATTATTTCGAAATTTCTATGTTTGATGTTACAATATTTATGTTTGTATTATAATATTTCGTCATTTTGACATCGTACTTCAAATTGAATTGGCTCGTTTTTTTCCTTATCTTTAATTTATCTATTTATTCATTTTACGGAGATGCAGATGCTTGGGAACCAAGGATTACTTTCAAATATCATCCCTTTATTCAGATTCAGATATTTTTGAGTTCAACGTTTGTGACAATCGTAAGCGTTTTCTGTAAGAGGTCATTACAGTCTGGTCGTCTGTGGTGCTTTAGTTTATTTTTATAAATATTTTTAAAAGTTGAACTTGATTTGAAACGATGATTGATGCTTTTCTTTAGGCTGCTATTCGCAAAGAACTAAATGAATTCAAAAGTACAGAGATGGAAGTACACGAAGAAAGTCGTCAATATACGAGGTAAATGAAAACAAATTACATTTGATGATAATGATCAACTGTATCATTGGACCCATCAATCAACCATTCCATCAGCCAATCAACAACTTAATCAGTGCATCCATCAATCAATGCATCAACCAATCAACAACTTTATCAGTGCATCCATCAATCAACCATTCCATCAGCCAATCAACATCTGTATCAGTGCATCCATCAATCAACATTCCATCAGCCAATCAACGACTGTATCACTGCATCCATCAATCAACCATTCCATCAGCCAATCAACGACTGTATCAGTGCATCATACAGTCAATGTATTTATTTATCAATGTTAGTGTTTGGATACATCATCGCTAATAATGTTTGTTGTTTGTTTTCAGATTCCATCGTCCCTAGTTTTTATAAATTTCGGTTTTAGGGTAATGGGGACAAAAATGTTTATTTTTGATGGTAGAAGATAAGAATTATATTATAATTATTCCTCAATACATATCAAATTGTATGTAAAAAAATGGACCCAATCGAAATATTGTAAATAGTTTATTGTACAGGATTTTTTCTAAGCCAGAATGCACACATGTACAAACTTCTCTCGTTGGTAAATAGAAAGAAATATTTTCTGTTTAATAACGAAATGATAACCGTCTTTCGTTATGTGATCAGTTTGACATTAAGACGAGGCTCGGAGGGATAATAATGAGTAATACCTTCGAGCCTCGTTTTGACACCTACGAAGGCATATAGAGAAAGGGGTCATTAGCACGAAGTATTTAGCTTAGTAATGGCAAACTTATCTTAATTGTAGATGTTTTTGAAGTGGTTCAAATATCGAAATGTAGAATTTTTAGATGACCTATTAGGGAGGTCTTTTGTACCACATGACCATTTTTGAGTGAAGCGATTGGCCAAAAAAATCACTTGGTACATTACCAGGCACTTTAAAAGAAATTTGTGCTTGTGGATAAGTTTCTCAACACATGACAAAAAGCTGTACGAATCACTTTTCATTGATCCGATAATTTGGATCACAAACGATGTAAGAATGTGATAGTCGAAAGTGTTGAAGCGATGGCTTGCGTTCATTGGTGACAGAGGTTTGCTTTCGCGACAACGTTTTGTGAAGTCAACTATCGTAAACTCGATTACAATGCTTTGAAACCTCGAGATGAGGGTTATTCGGTGACGAAGTAATTTCTGTTGTTTTAGCTAAACATGTTTATTTCTAGTTGTTTTATTCATGTTTTTATCATTCCATCGCAGTTTTTATCACTCGTCAGACGTGTTTTATGAATTAATGATCATAGACAGATGGATTTTAAAGCAATTTATATTTTCCTGTGTAGGCCGTTAGCTTTATTTAAAGCCAATTGACAAGGACCGCATTTGAGTAGTCATTTTCAATATGAGAAATGATATTTTTGTTTCATGAAGTATTTCAATTGAATATGCCTTTTTTCATAAGCAAAATGCATTTTTTTTTACTATTCTTAAATGTACACGTCAACTGGCTTTAAAAGTTTTTAAATCGCTTGGATATCAATCGATTCATCATGTGTTTAAGTTGTTGAGCATTATCATAAAAATAATGTGACTATAAATAAGTAGTCATCCGTTCTTCCAAATAAGGATGAATAATTAATTAGAAGACGTGAACAACGTCTGATTTATGCGCCTGAATTCAATGCGCATGTCAATAATTTCTTGCTCCCAGTCTTCATTCCATGAGAAAATTGCTGGGAACTGAGAAATAGAATCTTTCTTACGGTTGTCCAAGAGAGTGTTAATTTATAGTTTATTTGTATATGAAATTTGTACCATGCGACTACATGTATTTAAGATGATATTAAAGTTGGAATTACATCAAAAGCTATCGTGATTACTTCTTAATCCAACCTGTAAGGCTCGGTTATATCCTTAAAATAGACGTAAAATACTAAACATCAGGCAATCGATTTTTTGTTTTTTGTTTTTTCGTCGGAACAACCGTAATTTCAATTGATGACACGTTGGTGTTTTAAAATATTCAAAACTTTGTAGTGGAGCCACAAGCGAAGTRACAATATGAGGAAAACCGTGCGCATTTGTTAAATTGTTATTCTATATAATGCTATGTTCTCAAACAACCCGGAAAGTCACGTAAAACTCAAAGTTTGCCATAGTTTTCAACCCATAACAAATCGATTGCCTGACGTTTAATTTCTGGAGCTAAACGTCAGGCAATCGAAAATCTCAAAGTGCCGTGCTTGTGTAGTACAACCTTTTCGAACAGTATTATTCCGGTCTTTTTTCCATTTCTCTTGTTCAATTTATTGAAATTAGGGTTGTTCTGAGGATTTTTTTTTTAAATCGATTGTCTTACGTTTATTTTCTTTCATTTGACATTTTTGTTTTTTGTTGTTTCGCTGTACCCCTCAAACCTTTTCACACAGGAAACCCGAAAGGTTTGCTATAGCTAATGAGAGGTTACGAAGGAGCCATGAAAAACAAAAATGGCGGGAGAAGTCGTAGTAATTTGCTCGAAAAAGCCGTCTTAGTGGGCATTTTTACAGTACAAGAGGTTAAATAATGGCACTACTTCCAAAAGAAAATGGAGCCAGGTAAGGTGAAGTATACCCATCAGAGTTTTTTGGCTCAGAATTCAACTTTATATAGACTATAATATGGAGGTTTTCTAACGACGTGTATACGATTTGTGGAAATATCAGTTTAATTAGAACAACTGGAAGTATAGTGCTAGCTTTAGAAGATAACTATCGCAGCTGACGGCTTAAAAGCGAAAATTTATTCACTTGATAAAAATATAAAATTCGCTGTCAGTGAACAGCTAGGGTGAGATCCTCACCACTCGGACATCGCATTGGCTAAAATGAGCTGGATATGGCCTAGAACTTCCTTGGTCCCCCCATTTTCGCTTCTGAAGGCGACAATTTGTTTCGGTCATTTTTCGGCTGTTTATAAGCCTCAAAGTAACAGTCTTCGTGGGTGTCACGTGACCAATCATGAACAAATAGCTGCAAATAGCGAAAAGCAAGACCCTAGGGGAAGAGGTTCCAATCTCGAGCCCAGAGTCTTCACGTCTAATGTCAGCGGTATGCTGACGCCGGAAAGACTCTGGAGGAACCGACTGGATTTCAACCTCGTTCCCAGGGCCTTATCCCTTCGAGCTAGTGTCCCAGGATAACCTCGATGCGAATGGGTTTGGGCTATTTTGGGGTGCACTTTTGGATTTTGTTGCCTTAAAAAGCGTTTCGATGCCTCTCGTCCAAAATATATACAACATTTTCATCATACAATTTATGATCATACAACATTTTCATACAATATTATCATCATACAATATTATCATCATGCAACATTATCATCATACAACATTATCATAATTCAACATTATCATCATGCAACATTATCATCATGCAACATTATCATCATACAACACTTTCATCATACAACATTATCATCATATATCATTTTAATACAACATTATCATGCGAGCTGTCTGCCAGCATAACTCCACAGGATAACCCTCTGAACATGAGCTGTAATCCTAGTAGTAAAGAATGCAGATTATTCTCATAGAGTAATGTATTTACAGTTGGAACTGGCAATAATCCTTTAACTCTTAAATTTGAATAATAAAAGATGCATGGAAAGAAAAATCTGTTATTTATGAGCTGCCGGCTATTTAGGATTTAGATGTTGCGTGACCGGCAGTCCGCTCTGTTGGTTGAGATTTTTCTCGAATAGTTTCAGAAATGTTGATTATGTTGTTTTAACTCTTTGAATAAGAATAATAAAAAAGAAATCTGTTATTTTATGGGCTGTCGGACATTTAGGATTTCGTTGTTGCGTGGCCGGCAGTCAAGTTCGCACAATGTCTTTTTAAGTGCAACGAATTTCGGCGCGAAGTTTATGTAAGTAAGTTTTAACACGCTCATTTTACTCCTAGAGTTTTATTTTGGAGTTTGGAAGCTCGTTTAGATAATAAGAGAGGGAAAAAAATCATTTTATCAACTGCCGGCCATTTAGCATTTTGAGGACCTTGACCGTTAACCGGCCATCGGACACGGCGAATTTGAAAACTCAAAAATTTTCGTTTTGTGACGTCATCATTTGAGTACTCTATTGAAGTTTACAGTGAAAGTCGACATTGACTTTCCACGGGTGTCTCTCTCGCAGTTTTCTTTCGAGCGACGACGAGAATTTCCCGAACGAAACCTTATTCCGAATCGAGTTGCCGAAGCTGGAGATGAACAAGGCGAGACTCTTCGTTATTTATAGCTGTGAGTTTGATCAGCTGACGTTAGAATGTTTGTCAAGGCAAGCCTTCATGGATGACACGAATCTAGAGAAAACAAAAGCTTGTATTCATTTGCACTTACATGTAAAAGTGCGTGACAAATATATTAAAAGTTGAATCATAGTTAGTAGAGGCAGTCTCCATTTACTAATTATGGTAGGTTCGATTTGACGTCGTTTCACTCTAACAAAGGCAAGTAGCGAAGAGTTAATAGGTTTCACTTTCACATCTATCACAGCCGGCATTAGCAACTCTAGCTTCAGAATAATGTTTGTTCGGGAAATTTAGTAATACTCCAGTTTCGAATTCCCTTTCGTGCAAGCTAGCCTCAATCAAGCATAAAGCATATTTTATTGTCTTCTTTTGCATAACAAAAGGAATATATTACATGCTTTCGAGGTTTAAAAACCTACACAGAGTAAGATCTAGAAACTTGTGAGACGCTTGTTCATTCTGGTGGCATCCCAGCCCGCGCGCTGTGCTTGTCGGAGAGTGCTTGGATACCCGCTAACAGTAAGCGTGGGAAAAAGAGATTTAGAGAAAATCCGATCTCCAACTACGAGCTATCAAGGGCTTTTCATTCCACCCAAAGAATAAATCAGCATGTCTTGTTCAAGCTCTGTATTTACACAAAACCCCGACCTTGTCAGACTGCTGATTCGTGAATGCCTCGTCGTGCATTCTTCCACGAGTTCTGCTCTCAATTTTCTACCTATCACATGTCACATTCCTCATTCATTCCAAAGTATCGTAAGACCTTCAGTGTGACCCTCATGTGATCTCTAGTAACTCGTTTCTCAGTTTACATTCAAAACATAACCACCAGCAGTGACGTCAAACCTATTGTACTTCAACATCCCTAAAAGATTGCGTGACTAGTAAACTGGAATATGAAAATCGACTTTTTATCACTAGACAAAAGATCTTCGTCTTGATACTTGCTTTAAAATCAGTCGGAAAGTCAAAAAATTGACAACTAAAAACAGCAAGATTTTGTAAAAACATGACTCCACTATATTATTTACACAAGGTTTTATATTCCGAAAGCAAATGAATAATAAAAAGCATTCACTCGTGCGCTCAAACTGATACGCTTCCTAATCACTCCAACATTAAAATCTTTGAAATCCAATGTTTTTCGATATTTCAATTGGATTTGCGAAATCCTTAAAAAACTAAAATCGAAAAAAACGATCTTCGTCGACGTTGACCCAGGTGGTTAAAAATACTATGCGAAACCTTCAAATGGAACGGATGCTACTAAAATACGTTTTGTTCCACTCGTTTCGATTCTAAAGACTTCAAATAAGCACATTTATCGAAGTATATGTAGGCATATTTAAAGCACATTTGATGAAAATCTCATAGAAAAAGACGAAATAAAGGACAATGTACAAAAAGTATGCATTATTTAATTACACACCTTGCCTCGCCAAGCTGTACTCGGTTAAAAAGTCATTAAAAATCAAACTATCTACTTAGTGGTACTATCAAAATTCGACCAGAATTATCAGAAAGCATCGTTAATATTTCATTGTAATAGGTAACATTAATGTTTACTGTCTTGAGAAGCGCACCGACGCTCAACATCTCCTTCGTTCAAATGAACATCAGGCCATGATGATCATATCGGGCTTTGTCTTGTGCTTGTATTGTCTTACTAAGTCTACAGTCTCTAAGCTTGGAAAAAAATCCCAAGAAAAATCAGAGGTGTGTCGGTGTTTTGAGGCAATCGGTGTCGAAATCCACATCTAGGAGCGGGAAATGGCGTGGCCACCAGGAGCGCCTTTAACTTGTTGAGCGACTTGAACAAGTGAACACAAAGGACAGAAGCAGGTTACAAGAAAGTCACCAACAAAGGATCCGTCAATTCCATGCTGCTCACGAACTTTACCGCGAATACTGGTCATAGCGAACAGATCAAGCAAAGGCACAAACAACGACAAACCACAAAGCAGGCAGCTATCTCCAACCGCTTCGGCGTTTTTACCGTGCGTGTAACAAGGTACAAAGTACGTCACAAGGCAAGTACCGCAGTCATCGAAGCAGCCACACAAACCATGGTTCCACTGCGCCATTTTGTTGCTTTTCTAGGAGGAAACCACAAAAGAACTACTGCTCGAAGCTTTTGATCAACAAACAACGCCCCAAAAAATAGTTCAATGACCCCGAGTATTGTGTGACGTGTAACTGTCAGGGAACATCACTCATTACTGGATGCACTTCGCATATATTAAAATATTATGACCGCCAATAGTATCGTCGATTCGCTGAGCGACATTATGGCTCAGTAACTTTTTACGGCCATCATCAGTCAACCTGTTAATTCGTCAGACGACAACCCGACAATTATATATCCTATTGTTTTGACTACAAGCGCCACACAGTTTCACAATAATGACTTTAAGAAGTCTTTTAGTTTAAAAGTCAATAGAATTTAATGAATCGTGAAAATAAATCTTACATTTGCGAAGAGGACTAGTCAGTATTAATACTGTGGTTTACAGCAGAAATATAAAATACAATAGTATAACGATCTACAAGTCATAATACTATGCATGCTGGAGCACTTTTTTAGCTCTCTTTCGTATTGTCAACATACTGTCCAGATTTAAAAAGAGTTCTATCAGCATACACAAGCAAAACTACAAATATCGAAGAGATTTTGTAAGGTGCTTTGACCCGGGCTTTGACCGCATCGACTGCTCTTTTCAGAGCCCTTTCATTTTCGAGTAAAGTTGTCCGGGGAAGTTGTAATCGAGAAGTCAAATAATAGATGAGCCACAAACTTTACACGACGCTGACATATCTATGACATTAGTTAATCCTCTAAACAAATAATCTTGCACTTTCACTCTCAAAGCCAACCATATTGCTAACAGCGAGCGATGGAATTCGATCCAGGGGAACCTTTGACTTGTTGAGCAACTTGCACCAGGGAGCACAAAGGGCAACAGAATGAAATGACCAAATCATTAACCATAGACCCACCAATACCATGTTGCTCTCGAACTTTGGTACGAATACTAGTCAACGTAAACAGATCAAGCAAAGGCACCATCAAAGACAGACCACAAAGAAGACAGCTCTCTCCAACGGCTTCAGCGTTCTTGCCGTGTGTGTAACAAGGTACAAAGTATGTCACAAGGCAAGTACCAAGATCATCAAAACAGCCACACAAACCATGGTTCCAGTCTCCAGCCATAACGACAATTAAAATACCCCAATTTTCTACGTGTATTCTAAGCAAGGTGAATTCCGTGTATAACGCCTGGACACTGAGTGAACGCCCAGCTGACTCGGTACTCCAAATAAGGACACTACTTAAAACTGAGGACGTCATCAATCAAAAATGAACATTAAAAACTAGAAATACAAAGAATTAAAATACAATAATATTACCTTTTTCAAAAAGAAAATTCACAAAAAAATTGTTTTAAATTTCTTGCTGGAGACCAAAAAAGATGTGCGATGTACGTTTTTGTTAAAATGTGCTTTTCCGCCGAGCCGTTGACGTGGACAGTATCAGTTGAATGAACTGGTACCGGAGGAATTGCATAATTCTATGCAACTAGTAACCCTGAGTTTCATCAATCGTTTACCCGTAAACACCGTTTGCTTTAGACCGGATGTGACGCAGGCTAAATAATGCAACCAGCTCTCCAATCACCGTCATCGGTTAGGGCCTGACCATAGGGGGGAGGGGGGGGGAGTTCGGATATTTACTTTTTCTTTTGTGCATTCTTTGTACATTGCCGCTGACTTCGTGCGAGTGCTTCCTGTGTATTTTCGTCTAACTCAACCTCCCCCCCCCCCCCCCCAAAAAAAAAAAAGAAAAGCCGTCAGCTGTCCTGTTGAGGAGTACATTTCTATGTTTTGTCTATGGTGTCAATATTTTTAGTAGACTGGAATGTCACGATTTTGCTGTCTGGAGTGCTGCACATGAGGATCGAGCTGTGTGATTACAACTACTTCTCATGCTTAAAACATGATCACTTATAAAGGAAGCGTGTACTTATGGTTTCCGTGTGAAAAATTCTGACGAAGGCTTACTGTAACTAGTGACTGGAAATTTAACCATCAAAACAGATCACTTTTGATATTCCTCTTTATTTCTTTTATTTCTCTTTGGAACTTGCCATGCCCAGTTCAATTTAAAGGACGTCATGGCGTAAATACAGTCATCACCGTATCGATATTGTTAGAAAGAAACTTTGTTTATCAATAACAAAAAGGCGACTTTGATTATTTTATAGGCATCTTTTATTTTTTATGGTATTTATTTTCTTGGCTTGAGAGGTCAACAATTTGAATTAACTTAGCGACATTTAGTCTACCACGTCTGATTTTATCAGTTCAGTTGTAAGTAATGTTTACAACATGAGCGGGCCTTCGGCTCGAGATTGTAAAATCCCATACAACACGGACGCGAATGTTGTAAATTACTTGTGAAACGTTTAGGTGTATGCATTCATAATCTACTAAAAACTTAAAGATAAAATTGAATTTGGCTGAGAAAATTAGATTTGAAGCTTATGCAAATCAAGACAGTTTTGTATCAAATATTACAACACTCTTCACGGTCAGATTTCTATTGTGTTTTCCTCATTAATTATTCATGAGTTTTACAAGGTAAACGTCAAATTTAGATTTTATCGTTTCGAAGTCGTTGCAGAGAGCAGTCAAAAAGAATATCGTATCGTGTGAATAAATGGTTTTGAACAGTACATTAATTAAAGTGAAAGTAACGCATTCTTGCTTTCACTATGTATTAGAAGTAAAAAATATATATTCTACGCCATAATTTACATTAATAATATAATCATATGATTAGACAGAATATTACATCATAATCTTATCGTGTTTAAAACCTTTCACTCGTTCTCCTATACGCGCATCCATGTAATATCCTGTCTTAATCAATTTTCAAAAATAGCTGGTCCGACTTCACGCTCCAAGAGCGTCTATTTCGCTCAATTCTGATACCTATAATGCTTGTTTTTTGACACCATTTTGTTTGGGTTGGCAAAGTCCCGCAAAACAACAAGGATACACTGTGAAATCGATGTCAAATATTTCCATTTGAATTCCTATACTGAAAGAATCAATTTCAAACGTTAGATACTACGAAAATGACTTAACTGGCGAGTTTTGAGGGACTTAGTTGATCTAGGGAGCGAGTAAACTCATTTTTAGTTCTCCATACATTTCTTCGTAATTTTCGGGGTCATCGGCGCCTGACACGCGTGAAAAATATTCGAAAAGTATTTGCTCTTCATTGTCGATAGAAGATTCACTTAAAAGTATTCCCTTCTGATTCTCTATAGAAGGTTCGCTCAAAAGTAATCGAAGAAGGTTTAGTAAAACTGATTATTATTCGATCTTGATTCTCGATCTAGAAGATTCACTCGTAGGTCCTCGTAAGTTTCCGCTCAAACTCAAAATATCCACTCGCATTAAGACGTCGCTCAGAATACCCTCTCGTAAAGTCGTGTAATGTTTGGGGATTTTTCACGCCCAAAACAGCAATATGAAATGTTCAGTAGTCTTATTTCCTTGAATGACCGCCATCATACCATGTGGTTTTATCTGTGGGAGCAAAGTTGTCCCAGTCGATKTAAACTCCTGKGGAAATCGCCGAGCGCTTGGGTAAGAGGTGGAAAAAAATTGTGCTTGCATTTTATAATCGGGAGGTTTTTCATGCTCCAAATAGCAAAAAATTTCAGTAGTCTCWTCTCCTTGAACGGACCGCCCTCATTTACCTTGTAGTTTTATCAGTGGGAACAAAAGTTGTCCCATTCGATGTAAGTCGTGGAGAAATCGGCGAGCTCTCGTTAAAAATCTAACGTGGAAAAAAAAATTGCGCTTGCATTTTATAACCGTACCGGCCGAGGCCTGGGCACGGTAAAAAAAGTAGCTGCATTTTATAACCGTGCCGCAGGCCTTTGGCCCGRACGCGGTAAAAAAAAATTACAAGTAAGTCATTATTAACTCTAATTTCCTCCATGTGCAGACAGCCTGGGTATCTATTGAGACCGTTTTTATCCACTTTTTGTGGCTAATGCCTCGTATAAGGCTGAAGACACGATGCTGTACCCTTGAGGGTGGTGGTTACCTCGTATCTTAAAATATAAAACCGTTGACATACCTATAGCATTCGACATTTTTCTGTTTAACAAACTATTTCCGTTGCTTTACTAATTTATACTACCTAACTATCCATGTGGGATGCAAAGTCAAACAACATCCATCCCTCATAGTATGTGATAGACAAAACTATGCATTAACCTTTCCTTGTTATATTTTGTATGCCGTGCTCATTGTGATCCTAACCCAGTTCGTTAGCATTTTCTAGTATATACAATCATGCTACAGAGGATAGTTCACAAAAATATGAATGAAAATACAGAGTAATATAAGAGCTTTTGTGCCAAACAGTTTTCGACACATAATGGCTTCCACTTGTTTTTTCACTGCTTACATTTTTCCAACTGTTTTTCTGCCTTGAGTTTGCATTTTGATATATTTTAAGGTATGTTGTGATTTTTGACCTACAAACACTGACTACACAATCGAATCGTCATTCCATGCCACAGGGATCCCAATTTACAATTGAAGTAAAATTGTTTTTCGTTAGCTTCTCTTCCYCTGTAATTGGATATATAATTTGTCCATGAAGGGTCCAAAGAGCCTACGATATAGCCTACGATAGGCCGCTAGAGTAGGGTCTTGTAACGACAATGTTCCTCTGTTGAAACTGGTGTCTAGATTACGCAGGAAAGGAGTTGGCTGTGAAGGAGACCAGAGTCTGCCGCGATTAACGTATTGATTCTTATCGAACATACCATGATAATTTTGTCTCCCTTTTGTATAGTACAGCATGTAAAAAACAATAAGAACAGCGCGAAATTCATTGCAGTTGACTAGGATTCTTTAATAGTTGAACTGCCTGTGTCTTTCCCGGAAACGTAACTTAAGTTGAGATATGTCGGTCAGTACTTCATATTACTGGGTCAAGAGATCTCATCTTACATTTTGTTTCATACGACTTGTTACTTGAACTAATAAATCGGTGTTCATGCATTGCAGTTGGGATTCTTTTAATGGTTAAGCTGCCTGTGTTTTCCCGGAAATCTTTCGTAAGATAAGATATTTTAGTTTGATACGACTTGTAACGTTGATTTTAACTCGGTGATCTCTGTACCGATTTATAATGCAAAACCGAAAAGCAGTGGCAGTAATCGGTTCTGTGGCTTCTTGGGGAGCGTTTGCTGTAGGATGCATATATGCCGCTCCAGTTTTAGTTGGTGCTGCGGCCGTTGGTGAAGTTTTCACTTTGGTAACTGCGGCTTGCATGGACGATGACAAGGACRATGACAAGGACGATGACAAGGTAAGCGAAATAAGAATAATCTAGAATGGAAAATGTTTCAATCTCTTAACCCACTACACTACACGACAATGACATTGTTAGTGACAGAATGTCCTCTTGTTGTATATGTTCCCGACAAGTGATCTAGCAGGACATTTCAGGAGGAAATGGTTATATGAAGTGCTCTGAAATCGAAAATTGAGAAGTTTTTAAATTGTCGATCAAATACGCGGGGTTTACAACATGTAGTTAATAAAAGTATATACAGAAACTTGTTCTGAATACTGTGATACGGCTTTTACACCGCGAGGTACGAGGAGTAACTTATTGACGTCTCGTAGGTAAGTGCTCCGTCGGAGTAAAGTATTGAAACTGGGCTGGAAGGCAATCTCGTACCCCTTCGTTTTCTTGGCCACCGTCTGTTTGTCAACGGTGCTAGCCAAGAAAGGCTTGGGRTACGAGATTAAATGGAAGGTGAAAAAGTAAACYAATAGGAGCAAGGTAGACATGGTAACGAGAAATAAACAATGAAATTTAATAGAGGAGAAAAAGCAATGAAGATAATAGCAAATAGGACAAAAAAATAATTTGATAGTCAGGTCGTCAAAATTCCGGGGGTACTCCCTCCCCAACTTGGGGGAGGGGGGGGGGTGCCGCACGACCCTCAAAACCCCCTACCCTATCCCAGATCATTTTTTGCGATTTTACATACCCTACCCCAGACTTAAGGTACAAAGGTACATTATTTTATCGCTGAAAGCGTGGGCTAGCAGATACGATCACAGGTAAAGGTCCACCCTACCACAGAAAATGAGACTATACCCTATCCTAGAAAATAAAAACTACCCTATCCCAAACAAAACTACTACTCTATACAAGAAAGAATACGGTTAGACTCATCTTAAATTGCAACACAGAAGGTTTTTCTAAATAACTAAGTAACTGGCAAATCTGTCATTCAGTTGGCGTGGTCTCTTTGATGTATTGTCTTTTTCACTGTTACACTGTTGTTAGGGATTGAAAGAATTTTGATCCCACACGGAAGAACGGATAGTCTCTGATAAAGTCATTTTTGTAGTTTAGAGTGAAAGTAATCTGAAGACATCGATCATAACAAGTCTTTCTCGTTTTAGGAGACAATTTTCTATCATTACACCGATAAACAGGGTGCAGAAGGGATTAGGAAAAGTGGTAAAATCACGGAATCCTCAAATACACAAACAGACGCAGCTCTTGGACAAGGTAATAACAAGAACAATCGCAGAAAAATATGCAAGATTGAAGTTGAGGAATCCAATAAACCTCCCAAAGGGCAAAATAATTACTAATGGATTTTCAGTTTTTAGAAAGGGGGTGTTGTCAAAAAATTATAACCGCTCTTTGAGGCTGCTATTATGAGAAGGGTTAAAAAATTAGCAAATCCTCGGCCCCATCACTTGCATGCGCTAATATGGACGGGTCCGTAGGACGCCCATTGCCCGAAGAAACAACTCCCTCGATAAGCCTTAAAGAATATGATGCTCTTCTAATTATAAGAACGTTTTCAAGACAAACCTGGGGATTGATAAAACCTAAGAATTGTCTTAACGATTTGTGCCGTTTTCTCCCATCATTTTTTGTATTTGTGTCCTGACTCCCAGGGTTTTCATTTGTTCTCTTTACCCACGCAGTTTTTGTTGTTTTAGGTGTCTACGTTACCACTTTGACACCAGAGACAMTCGACAAGGAACTTCTGAAGAACAACTACGACAGCGGTTGGAAAGAAAGAGATACAAATAATGTGTCATACTATGTCAAGTTRGTGTCTCGTGGTAGCCGYACGACAAAAAAAAGATTCAAGACAAACAAATCGTTGAGACGTGACGTGTACGTGCATCAGGGTGACATTGTGCTGAAAGAATACAATGGAGAAATCGTTCAGAGAATTTTCAAGTCAGAGTCAAATTGTCCGTTAATCTTTTTCGTCGTGTCTGTTATTGTTCTTTTGTTTGCAGTTTTTGTATTTCTTATTCGTTAAGCCGGGATATCGAACTTTAAACAGGGTACACAAACTCACCCTGACCAACCCAGCCCCTTTGGTTACTGTTATTAAATTATCATTGTATATTACCCTGACCAACCCAGCCCCTTTGGTTACTGTTATTAAATTATCATTGTATATTACCCTGACCAACCCAGCCCCTTTGGTTACTGACCCTCACCAACCAAGCCCCTTTGGTTAATATTGTTAGATTATCATTGTATCTCACCCTCACCAACCAAGCCCATTTGGTTAATATTGTTAGATTATCATTGTATAACGTCCCTCCGCCCCCTTTTCAATGTTACAAGGAAGGTTCATGGTCACATCAAAAGACAACATATGCATTGATTCGGGGTCCGGGGGGTGATATAGTTTGTATGGAAATACTTACCAACAATATTGCTATGTTTTCTTAGGCTGTCTTTTGACTCCCGTTGTAGGTTTTTGTGGTATTATACTACTTGTTAACCATTTTTCAGAAGTCATTTTTGGCATTTTTTTATGTGGTAGTTAGTTATTACAATTATAAAGCTCTTAATTCTACGACAAGTTTTGTATGATAACGTCAAATTATAGATATTCTTTCTTGGACGCTTCACATTTGACAAATAGTCCCTTCCTAAGTAATCCAGTATTCTCTATCAATCTTGTTAGCTWCTTGAAACAAAACAAAAATGTAAAGAGCTTTCAAATTGATATCAATCATTAGTATCTACCAAACTATCACAAATCCAGCGTTCTGATTGGCTACTGAACTATGGTATATTCATGATATACCGTGTTCGCATCAAATGAAGCGAAATTAGAAAGAATGTCTAGAAAAGTTGCTGTTATTTTTTCATGCTTTTTTGTCAGACTTGTCCATCCGACCTCATGGTCTGATTGCTGAATACCATTTCCTTAGAAAGAAATATTTAGGCAAAGTTTTATTTTCGTTGTTTGGGAGCAGCATTCGTGTTGCTATTGTCTGCTGATGGCAGGGTCTTGTCGTTTGTAGTTTCTTGGAAGTCTGTCGTAGGTGGTGGTAGAGAGGTCGAAACATTCTGATTGGGTAATCTTGCTGTACCCTCTTAGTGTCGGGTGCTTCTATAATACCGTGTTGCACTCATTCTGTATGTTTGGTGGTTGGAACACAATTAGTGACTTGTGATAGTTTTGCATTCCTTGTTCTGTTCTGTTCTGTTCTTGTAGAGAAACGTTGCTGTGTCGTGGTTTTATTGACGCTGAACATTGAGATGTTTTTCCATGTTCTAAGGATCTCGTTTGCGTACGTCTTTTGTTTGATGCACTGGACTATGGTTGTTGTTGTTATCACGTGTCATTTACCTGTTGTGTTGTTTCTTGTAGAAGGGTTTTTATAGTTCAAGAGATTAGTTAAGTTAGATTACTCAAATATTATAAGAATATTCTAAATTCAGGGATAGAATACGGTGTATAGTAGCAATCAAGTTTTTGTTAAATCCTTTAGGATTACAGTGGGGGATCCATCTGTTGAGTGCAAGGGGTACGCAATTCCTCTTGAGATTTTGTAACCCTTTCTTTGTCTCTTTTGTGACCATTATTTTGCAGTGCACCCCTTCACCAGTTGATCTGTAACCCCTCCCTATCGAAAATCCTGGATCCGACACACTGGAGGAGCGATCACTTAATAAATCAAAACGCTATATACAGACGATAGGCTAGTATTACTATATGATTATTCTACAACTCTTTTTCGGTTAATTTTATAATTCTACTTAGTATACACCAAACTATTGGCTATCATTTTTTAGAAATACTGATAGCTTTGACAATAAAGGACTTAGAAAATTTCATCTTGAAGTAATGGATCTAGTTTTAAACTAAGATACTCAGTCCTTTACGCACACAAAAACCCGCAGCACTGGAAAAAATCGCGCGCTATAAAGGTTGTAAATTTGATGTATATATGATGTAAGTGTCCAAAATGATGTAAATTTGATGTAAATGATTTCCATCAAATTTACATCATTTTGGACACTTACATCATATTTCCATCAAATTTACATCCTTTATGGTGCGCGATTTTTTCCAGTGCAGTTTATTGAGAAAACTATTTTCGTCTTGGCTATCACAAATCCTGCATTCTGATTGGCTACTGAACTATGATCTATTCATGTTATACCATACCAAATAGCTTGGTGAATACCAAAACAACGGCCGAATGGAATATCAACTCTTAGTTAACGCCAGACCGAGTGATCTAATTGTTAAACATATTAAGGTATGATTTAATAATAAATGGTACTATTTCATTCAGCATGAAATCCTTGTAGTTATTGATCTTTATATAGAGTACATGTAGAGCTACACAGCGTATTCATTTCAATATGCAGCTCTTTTTGTGCAAGTACATAGTTCACGATATTCCATAATCATGGTTCAGTAACCACRAACAAAACATTGAACCGAGGCGTCTAGATWTWCCGAGCATGAAATTGCATCTGTGTTCATTGTTCCCTTTCGCCTCGGCTCAATGCATTGTTCGTGGTCAACGAGCCTCAGTATGAAAAGACGTGAATAGACTTATGGTATCCTTTGCGCTGTTCAAAAACTGGCAAGTAAAAGATGGCGGATGGTCTCGGTCTAGGYAGGTTAAACTGAGAATAGAGTCGAGTTATTTATATCCTTTTTTGTTGTAATGAATATATCCTTGTGTAGAACGTTGAACTTGTAAGATTTTCTAAAGAAATGTTCGTGATATCGWTGTCTTTCCAACCAGTAAATGTTTRCTATAAATGTTTGGAGTTTCTAGTACGTGCTTATCAGGGGCGTGTCCAGTGGGTTCACAGGGTGCACATGAACTCCCTTCCCCATTAAGAGGCCAAAATAGTGTGTTTCAATCAGTTTCCTTAAGCAACGAAGAAAATACATTCTCTCGCTATAATTCGAGTTGTCTTTCTCTCCCCAAATTTCTTTTCAGGTCCCGTAACCAAGGGGTTGCAAGCCCTCAGAGAAGGTCCGCTCATCTATCTTCATCTTTGTTTTGGTTTTGACATCAATTTAATGCAAAACCATAATTTATCTTGTCGAATTTATCCACGAATCAGCCGGATTTGTTTTTCCAAACAAAATGGATTCTAAATGAATCCCGAAGGACCTTGTATAAGGTGTAGTAATAACGTGTAATCACAAATAATGAAGATTATCAAAAACGGTAATAAAAGTTATAAGTTGTAATACGCTGTTGCGTATTTCATCGGGATTGAAAACCACTCCTACTTTATATATACTGAAATATTTATATTTTTGTAGATTTATCTTTGTAGATGATTAGTATGAGGGCCACTAGTTTATCAGTTGCAGTACTGTCAAGTGTCACCTCTATAAATAAAGTTTATTGTTTGTTTGTTTGGTTACGGCCCTGCAGTTGATATAACATATCATCCATTGCTGTTGGGCTTCCTGTTCATGACGTTCCATATATGGCGATACACATGAGAAGCTAAAAGAATAAAATTTTAGTCCAATGAAATACTACAGTTTCCAATTCTATTTTGTGCAAGCTTAGATTCAATCAAGCATAATATTTTTCTTCTTCTTTGAATACAGAATTTTTGGATTAAAGGATCTCTGCTGAATAAAAACTGAATATATTGCATGCTTTCGAGGTTAAGGCTGCACAAATAAGATCTTGAAACTGGAGTATTGCCGAATAGTATCATTTGAACACTGGGAGAAACTTAACCAGTTATTTCATTAACGTAGTATACCACCAGAGGTTTTGTTGGTTTGTTATATTGTTGCAGAAGCGATTCAAAAAAGTGGTGTAATCAAGGAATCTCGCGATGTACGTAGAGACGCATCTTTTGGACCAGGTAAAACATTTCTTATAAAATTGATTAGGTCCTAGTTTTCTTGCAGTCTCGAATTGTATTTAATTAGCCTGAAATGTATGCGGAAGTTTGCCGCCTCAAATTATACAAGCGCAATAAATCCGCTTTTAAGATCCATTTTAAAGCTTCCAGCAAGTATGTGTGATCTTCAGTAAAGAATTAATTTTGAGCTTGAGAGGCTGAGGGGAGGCAATATTTTTTTAAAAATTCCAAAAACAGTCTTCATACCAGCGTTACCGAGTCCTTTCCAAAGCAATATTCAAGGGAAAGCAACTGCAGAGATGGTATTCCATTGTATCACTTGTAATACTTACTAAATTTCGAAGATGCTGTGCAAAGATAGTAAGGGGATCAGTATTGAATCCGAAGGGGAGGGGGAAAGAACTTTTGTTTCAATAGTCCCAACGCGTTTGCCGATTAGACCTATAAGTCGTAAAACTCGAGAAGCTTCAGTAGTAACGCGTTTTGTTGTTGTTTAGGTGTCTACTTTACCGATCATCCACCATCGACACCCAGCAATAAACTTCTGGTAAATAACTATGACAGAGCTGCAAAAGAAACAGATGCAAGAAATGTGTCACATGTTGTGGAAGTTAAGGTTCCTCCGAACAAGGTGCAAAATTTTGAAAGTCAATCCAGTTCACGTCAAGTGTACAAGCATGAGGGAAACCTTCACTTGAAAGATTACAACGCAAAAGTCTATAAGAGATAAAACCGCCTCAGGCTGAGACCAAATGCCAAGCTCTAGTTTTAAGAGAGTCATATTGTGTTTGTTTCACAGCTATTGTAGATGACTAGATATCACAGTTATTATTTTGATAGGTAAAGTTTCTGACTCAGGTCCCAGTACGCTGCTGAGATTGCTTTAGGAGGAGAGAAAATCACTACCCTGTATGTAGACAATGAAGTGTGGGTTGTTAGTCCTTCGTCATTATTTACGCTGAGCCCTACTTCGTACGGCGTATTTACATGAGTTCAATAAAATTCACGTCATATCTATGAATTATGTCGATACTTTATTACATACGAGTACACTAGTCGAATATTCACCAATGATCCAATACTTGGTTTATATCTCGTGAATAAGCAAACGAGAAATTTACAGAGAAATGCAAAAGCCATACCCCCAACCCTAAAATGAAAAGAATAGAAAGTTATGCAGGTGCTTAGAAGAAGGTTATTCCGGGCGAAAGATCCTTGGAAGTAAATTTGGAAGACGTCTACTATACGTCACCGATCTGCCACCAAAAACATAAAAAACATAAACCAGTGCCTTGACAAAAAAAACAAAAAACAAAAAAACATAAATTTCTCATATCATTCTATAACGGGTTGTAAAGTAAACTTTTGGACCGTTTTTAGCTCATTTTCAGGGTTTGCCATGATTTTTGCAAGATTTCATGTTATTTACATATCTTAACATTGTAAAAGAGAAGTAATAAGCATGTTCGCGACATAGGAAGGGCATGATTCATGAGTCTATTATTTCAAATTATGAAAATTCCCTTAATTGTTATCCCTTAATTGTCCATTGTTCATAGTTAGTATTAAATTATAATTTGGGTTTCGTCTAATTCTGCAAAACGTATATCAAGCTATGTAACAAACAATAGAGCGGATTTCGTATGAGTGGGACACCGTTACTGCACGGTTACCGCACAGTTACCGAACCTGGCCTGCACAATTTTGGTGAACCAATGGGGCACTAGAATTTGGTTACAGTACGATTACGGTCACAGTACTGTACCGTCCGTTTCCCACTCATACGAAATCCGCTCTATACACTTAATGACTGTTCCCAAGGGAAACGGTTAGTTTTGTTTCCCGAGAATCTCAATGTTTCCCGAGGTACGCCGAGGGAAACATTGAGATTCGAGGGAAACAAAAACTAACCGTTTCCCAAGGGAACAGTCATTAAGTGTTTTGTTATATTGGTAAATTATGTGAATAAAAATAAATCAAAACACATTGCAAGATGATTTCCAATAATACTTTATTGTGAATATAATAACTGTGAACGTCGCGACAAAATAGCAAGATGTTGAGCGTTTAGATTACTGCATTGTGCTTGAAAATAAAAATAATTTAAATATACAAATGCCAAAAAACTAGCAAAATTTTATGAATGAAACAGTCAATGAGTTCCTGAATAGAAATTTAACGTGACATTTGTCCAAATTCACCGTTTCTCTCTTGGTTTCTCTGCAGAATTCTATCAGAGTCGTAGCAGTCTTTGTAGCTTTGTTAGTGTTTTCCGAGTCTTTGTTGACAACCATTTCGTCTATTTCTTGACTAAGATTTGAAAATCTTTTTGATGCCGGCTCCATTTTGTAAACAGTCGAAAGCAGCAAAAAACAATTCCCGCCTTTACAAACTGTTACTCGACGCGAGGCGGCCTTTTCCCGCCAATGGCTAAGCGGTCAACAATCRCSAAACTGTTGACCGAWCAGTCAACAGTTGATTTTAGCTCCGGACACGTGACACCGAATCGTCCAATAAGAGAGCGAGAAAACAGTGAAAATAATTTACCAATATAACAATTGTAGTTAATTCATCCAGAACTGAGAGGACATTTAGTAAGAGATAAATACCGAGAACGGAGGCAATAGAGCGGATTTCGTATGAGTGGGAAACGGACGGTACAGTACTGTGACCGTAATCGTACTGTAACCAAATTCTAGTGCCCCATTGGTTCACMAAAATTGTGCAGGCCAGGTTCGGTAACTGTGCGGTAACCGTGCAGTAACGGTGTCCCACTCATACGAAATCCGCTCTAAGCCATATAAAGCACGAGGGGCCGTAGGCCCCGAGGGCTTTATAGGCTTATTGCCGACGTACGAGGTATTTATCTGGCTTATTTCATACTTGAAGAAGTTTTCCAAGCACTGCATTAATACTTTCATTTTTAAATAGGCAAAGAAGCCGTTTTCATATGAATTAAAAACCAAAACCTCGATAAGAAAGGTTACGAAATCTACTGTATTGACAATTCCCAGCGGTAATAATTTGCATAACCATTTTTCTCGTTAGTCCCATGAGAGCAACCTTTTGTAACAAGTAACTGAACAATGTTAAATAACTTTTTTATTCCACAACTGACATCGATTAGTCAGTTAGCATAACTTGTTAAGTATAGGATTTTCAAAGCTAAGGTTGTGGGTTCGAATCTACTTGGTGTCATTCGAATTTTTCTTTCTTTCTTTCAAGTTTAAAGTTTCAGACGGAAAATTTATAAGTTGAACGTAGTAGTTAATTAGGTATTCAAGGGCAATAAGTAATTAGTTTTCAAGGGCAATATCTAGATATAGCCCTGAAACTTCGATATAAAGCACTTG